CACTTTAGGTGCTCCTCATTACGAATATCACAAAATTTAAGCTCGGCCCGCCATATTTACGAAGTTACGGATGTTTTAATTTCAAGGTCATTCGGGAGAGCCCCTACGATTTCCGTCGAAATTTGTGTACGGATACTCTAGATGCTCCGCATTACGAATATCACAAAATTTAAGCTCGGCCCGCCATATTTACGAAGTTACGGAGTCACAAAGTTACGGAATTTCAAGGTCATTGGGCGAGCCCCTCCGATTTTCGTCAAAATTTGTATGCGGACACATTACATGCTCCTCATTACGAATATCGTAAAAGCTAAGCTCGGCCCGCACTATTTCAAAAGTTACTGAGGTTTGAAACTCACTGAAATTCAAACATCTGTAACTTTTGAAATAGTGCGGGCCGAGCTTAGCTTTTACGATATTCGTAATGAGGAGCATGTAATGTGTCCGCATACAAATTTTGACGAAAATCGGAGGGGCTCGCCCAATGACCTTGAAATTCCGTAACTTTGTGACTCCGTTACTTCGTAAATATGGCGGGCCGAGCTTAAATTTTGTGATATTCGTAATGAGGAGCATCTAGAGTGTCCGTACACAAATTTTGACGGAAATCGTAGGGGCTCTCCCGAATGACCTTGAAATTCAAACCTCCGTAACTTCGTAAATATGGCGGGCCGAGCTTAAATTTTGTGATATTCGTAATGAAGAGCATCTAGAGTGTCCGTACACAAATTTTGACGGAAATCGTAGGGGCTCTCCCGAATGACCTTGAAATTCAAACATCCGTAACTTCGTAAATATGGCGGGCCGAGCTTAGATTTTGGGTGCATCGTAATCAGGACTTTACGTACTATCCACTGACCAAGTTTGGTCCAAATCGTAGGGGCTCACCTGATTCCGAATCTTAGATTATATATTAGGATTCACTTACATCTAACTTGACGACCGTTTGGGATGCTTGGTTCGGGCTGACCAGCCCCGGTGGGCACTCTGGAATGATGGACGATGCAGATAGTGTTATCGGGTGAACTGAATTGTGGTAAAGAATATCGGTCGTTTGATATACTGTACTGGCCTTGGACGGATTTGTTGACCGTTCCTTGAACAGGAACAGGATAACTGTACGTCCGGTGATCTACCTTCATGTGAAGAAGTTCAGTGTTGTTCTTATTTCCAAACTTATGTTATATCCGATAATGCTGAGTCTGTTGCATCACGACCAAAGGTGTGTTCACATGCATCGCACAGGGAGCAGCACTATTGATTCACATTTAGGCACACAGGTCAAGCGCTGGGCTCCAACTGAAATGGTCTGCCTCTTTTGCCCTTTCTCATGTTAAACACGCATAAATTACCGGCGCCCTTTGACACCCTCCTGGAAGGTCAGCTGACATTAAAATGTCTTCTTATCTCTGGGCTCGTTTGCTATGAGGCTAAATATGTCACAGCAATTTGCAGAGAGCCTGACGGGTGGGCAGTGGCCCCTGCTTGGCCCTTTGTGCAATGTGCAGTGACCTTTGGTCGTGGCCAGCGGCCATCTTGCTCCCCATGGCAGCGCCTGTTCCGTCTAAACTCTAAAATATTGATAGGGGGACGAGATTCGTGTTTTCACAAAGTATAGCTGAGACTGGTTTTGACCGTACTGGCTTTAGAGGAATTAGTGTTTGAAGACGCTTCTACTGAGTAGCTTCAGCAAGGGAGGTCACTTGTCCCCGAAACGAGTTCTTCTTTGATATATGGGCAATAGAGTCATTGAGGTAGTCCCATGCTGCTGAATAAATACTGACGTAAAACACCCTAGACACAAATTTGTGGGATTTTCTTGCTTAGCAGGCTGGCCGAATTGAGAAAGCCCTGCTTAATTCAAGGCTCTGCTGTCTTTTCTCTGGCAGTGACCCAGAATGGCTCATTAATTCCTTTCATTGCCTGACTAAATTGCCCCAACGTTAGCTTTGTTTGATGACACCAAGCAATGCCATTCAAATACTTCGCGACACTCTACTCGATAAAACAGTCAGGACAATTTCAGGACAACTTCAATTGCTTCACTTGGCCATCGTTCACTGCATTATCTTGTTGATCTTAGACATGTTTAAACAAATGTTTACGTCTTGGCACCTGAGTTTGTGACGCGTAGACTTCTTTCTGATATGTCATCCCTAAGACACATCCCGACTTGTTGCCCTCAATAAACATTAAACAATCAATCCCCAAGACAATTTCTTAATACAATACCTGTTCCTGCTACTGCTTCTGAGGCCCAGCTGTCCTTGTGTGCGTGCCGCCGCTGTCCTGTCCTGTCCGTGTCCGATGTGCGTGTCCTTTCTGTCTCCGATGGGCGGACACCCCTCCACACCTCCGCCGCGACGGCGTGGCGACCGGTGACTGCCGTGCTGACCCCCCCCCCCCCGTCCCCGTCCCCCCGGGCCGGGCCGACCGCCATCGACCGACCCGGCCGCGGTGACTCACCGCCGGAACCTCCGTCCTCCCGCCGGCCGCCGCTCTGCCCCTCTGCCCGGGAGGCCGGCCCAGGCCCACCCCGGGCGTCAGACCTCTGCGAGAGGAGGTAGACATCGATTGAAGGGCTCGGTCGGTCACAGGTGAACCAGATGGGATGGGACAAGATAGGACAGGATATGGGATGGTATGAGGTGGAATAAGACGGGAATGATACGGGATGAGATGGAATGTTACGGGTTTGGAAGGGGACGCGTTGACACGGGGTGTAATGGGGTGGAGGGATGCGGGATATGTTGGATGTGATATGATGAAGCGGGATAGCTATGGAATGGAATAAGAAGGGTCGGGTTGATATGAGAAGGAATTGGGCGGAGCGATATGATCCGTATGTGATTGGATGAAATGTTAAAGGATTTGTTGGACTGGTGGTGTATTTAGGAACGTTGGAAGATCGATGTCATGTTGTCATTCGCGCGGGACATGTCGGCGATGCCATAGTGCTTCCTGAGACAGTTGGACGTGCCCTGTCAACTGAGTCGTGCTGGGGCCATGCTAAGGTCAGCCGCGTCAAATGGACAGGCTGATGGGCTCTCGGTGATGGCTGCCACGAAAGGCATGTTATTAGAATCGGAGTGATGTCGGTATTCTAGGTTATGTCGAACTCATATGAACTTGCAAATTGTTGTTGCGAACTGTCAAGAGGTCAAACTCGTGACGCCAGCTAATGGCATTTCTTGTTTGAACTTACGTTCATAGAAAGCCGTACATATATGAATAATTATCTTACAAAATTTGATTGGAAAGTAATTCGCAATGATGTACGTTGTTGATAAATTGTTAACGTTGAATGAGCGAAGGAATGTACCAATATCATTTTTATGATCCGATCGCAGCAGTTTGGATCACGTTTGATCGCTCGTCCGCTCCTTCTCCTCTGCATTGCGACCTCAGTCCCGGCTTTCCACTACCTACGCTCACTCCGTCTACACTTAAGTGGCGCCTCCCTGTGTTCCCGACACCACCTGCTGCGCTCCCTCGTGCCCATTTCGCGGCACTCCTGCCTCCTTCGTCGTGCGCCTTTGTCACATCGTAGGTCCTCACTGCGGTATATGATTAATTAGAGTGCAGCGCCGTACTGGTTTTCCAGTAAATTTGCGGCGGCGGCGGTACAAGGAGTCCCATAAATAACTTCCATTCAGCTGCATATGACGTGGTAGGTGGTAGGGGGCGGTCGTAAGGTCATGACCCGGTTGTAAAGACTGCACAATACACGTGCCTGAGCAGTGGTGTCCGCTGTGCACTGTGCCATACTCGTGTTTTGACATTATTCGGTAATATGTGACCTAACCGCCACGGCATATAAGTAGCCACGGTAATCACCGTAATGCGATATGGGACTCATTGATATTATTCCCCGCGCTCTGTCGTACCTCCGCTGACGATCGCGGCTCGCTATGTCTGCTATTTGTTCACGGCCATCCGTATACGCGTTGGCCAATCGCCGGTCGGGCGCGATGGATTATTAAACGCTGATTGTGATGGACGTCTACATCGTTATGCGTGATTGCCTGTTTGCCGTCATTTTTTGCGATGTATTGATGTAGACATGTCGTCCGTCACTGTCTACGATAGGCGCCTGGTGCTGTCGGACGGACGGATTGGAGGCGTGACGTGACGGGCCGATAGATGTGTAGTGATTTCGGCCCGTGACGTATTGGAGGGGTTACGTGACGTACTGATGGGTGTCTGGTGCTGTGTGACTGTGACGAGCCGGCTGTGGTTGAGCATTGAGTGGGCATAGCGGATAATTAGCGTGACCACCACTGGTGTGCTTGTGGAGGGAGGGGGCTGTCGGACTACTGCTGTTGGGAGGCTGCTGCTCCAATCCACTCGGCCGATGAGCCCAATCCGGCATAGCCAGCCTTGATTGGTTAGCCTAGCAATAGCTATGGAAGTTTCATTTTATCCCCCTGGACTGAGCACTGAGCAGTGGATTTACTTTATGAAACTGGAAGTCGCTCGCCCTTGAACCCCTCCACTGAAGCCATGCACTGACGAACTTCGAAGGGCTGAGGGAGGTGTCCATAGCGGACTGAGCTGACTGGTCTGACAAGGGACATGTCCAGCGCCAGCTGAGCTGATTGGCCAGACAGGGATGTGTCATCCAGGATGGGCTGAGCTGATTGGTCGGGTGTGAGACGTGTTCAGGATGGGTTGAGCTGATTGACCGGGTGTGTGATGGACTGAGCTGATTGGTCCATCCGGGCTGGCGGTGAGCTGGTCGTGGTCAGGCGTCTAGCTGTGGTTTTCTGCGCGACCGCAGTGGTTGTTGGTTTCGGCAGACGGGCCTGTGATTGTTGGTTGTCAGTGTGTGTATGGAGGTATGTGCCGCAGCAGCCAATTCCTAAACTTATCTCGATGTGTCTTGTGATAGATCGAAGTATCCGGACTGGCTTGGGTACGTTTTTTAGCTGTGATTGAAATTCTATGTTTTCTGTTTCCTTATGGGATATAATAAATTGTTCATCTGTCATCACTATTGATAAGTACTAGGGTATGTATTTTCTCCTTTAAATAGAAACAGGCCACCATATTTCCCTAAATCCTACGACTTTTGACATCAGTTAGCCACCACGGCTGCTGGCCGCTGCGTCTGACATCACTGTTACTCTACAGACCGTACTCAGAGGGCGTAGACGCGCACATAGTCCACCTGCATGGCGGTGTCGTCGCCATTCCAGGAGGGCAGCCACTGGTCGCGGCCCTCCCAGAAGTCGCGGTACGCCGTCGGCGAGGTGTTGTTCCACGGCTTGGCGCCGTTGCCGTTGATGTAGGAGTCCTCGAAGAAGGTGCCGGAGCCGGCCACGCCCGTGCCGCCGACGGCCACGTTCAGTTTCAGGTAGAACTCCTGGTCGAAGGGCGCCATCTTGGAGCGCCCCTGCCACGGGTTGTCCCTCCAGGCGTCCTGGTCGAACTCGCCCAGCTCCCAGAAGCCGCCCTCCGGCGGAGTGACGTTGCCGATGTCGGCGCCGTCGACGCTGAATGTGATGCCCTCGGGCGTCCACTCGACGCCGTACACGTGGAAGTCGGCGTCGAAGCCGGCCTCGTCGTTGAGCTCGTAGTGGGTGCGAGGCCACTGGTTGGACGGGAAGTCGGCTCCCCAGTGCATGGTGGAGGCCACCTGCTTGACGCCGACCTGCACGTTGTCGGAGGGCCGCAGAAGGTCGCGGTTGCCGCGGCTCTCGACGATGTCGATCTCTCCGGAGGTGGGCCAGTTGCCGTACACCTCCCTCACGGGCATCATCCAGATGGCGGGCCAGATCCAGTCGCCGGCCGGCATCTTGGCGCGCGCCTCCACACGGCCGTACTTGAAGCTGAACGAGAGCGGCGTGCGCATGGCCGCCGACATGATTGGGTTCAGGATGTTCTCCGAGTTACCCTGGCGGACGCAGCCGTAGTTGAGAGGGCACGTGCACTGGTCGAAGGGCGCGCCGCCGTTCATGTCCAGGGTGCCCGAGTAGAGGAAGTCCTCACCGAACCGCTCCGCCGTCAGGGTGGGTCTCAGGTACAGGACGCCGTCGCGGATGTAGCTGTTGGTCCGGTTGTTGTTGTATCCCTCGAACTCGTTGTTCTGAGGGCAGCGAAAATACATTGTTGTCTACGCTTTTAGGTGGAGAGCATAAGTTACCCCCGAGCGTTCCAAAACTTTCGAAGTTCTTTCATTCGCTATGGCTTATACGTAGTAGTAATAATTGCTACCTTTTGTGAGTTTTTTTTTTTAGCTTTGGCATATTGACAATCTATTATCGACGGCGAAATGTTTCAATATATGCTAACAGGACTGGAACCGTAAAGCGTGGGCCGTACTGCCTTAAAATAACTACTTAGAAGTTTAGGCCTGCACCTTCCCGGCTATACTTACGCCGCCGCCCCAGAGTGTGAGCTCATGCTGCCAGGTGACCAGATCCAGCTCGTCAAAGTTGTCCTCGAAGATGAGCTCTCCGGCCGTGGGCACCTTCCCTCCGTTGTATGTGGTGACGCTCAGCTCAGCTGAGACTGTCACGGCAAGCCCCGCACTCAGCAGCAGTGCGGCAAACATCTCGGCAGTCGATCTGGAGCTCTTGTCCGCTGACAGGTCGCGATGGGTGGTTGTGGTCGAGTGTCCACCTCCCCGCTATTTTATACTCTGTATCGTCGCGATACGGTCGCGCGGCCGGTGGGAACGAACGTCTGCCCGGCGCGCGGTCCAGGTGTCTGTTGTCGCTGTGACGGGACTGTGACGGGAGCGTGACGGGAACAGTGACGGGAGCAGACGGACCACCGTGGGAACCACAAGCTGACTCGCAATTCGCGGCCCACTGCACACCTCGCGTGACATTGGTGCACGATTGGAAGAAGTGAGGTGGGGTGACTCGGGGACGGTATTTGCTGCTTAGATGAATACCAAGTCATCGTCAGTTGTCAGAATATTCTCGCACATGATTCATCGTGACATGGACAAATATCAAGCACATCCTTTCTTCATTTGAGCTGTTTGTACCGCGTCCAAATTTGACTATGCTGCAATTTACACAGATTTTCGTTGAATGTTTTTGTGTAAAACATTGATCCGTGCCTGATAAGTCATCACATGTGCTAGCGTTATCATTCACTGTCTTTCATTCCTCCTGAGCTCACTACGCTTGTACCTAAGTGATCAGCGGTCTCATTTGCATTGTGCGTGCTTTTTTGTTGTTGGAAAGTCTGTTCTTGGAGACGGAGGTGTCGGTCAAAAGACTGAAGTGTCAGTCAGAACTCCACCAGCACAACAATGACGATCGGGTGACAGTTGGCTATTCAGACTTTTATTGACGCTTTCCGGAAAATTTATGGCTCATCAAGAGACCATGAATGTCTTTTATGTTTAAATAACTGTCCGGCTTTGCTCCCTATAGTGCGACTAATTTCGGGGAGCTTCGGGGTTAGCTTCGACAGATCGCTACGATCTCCCTATCATAGTTTATGTCCAAGTTCATATGCAGATAAAACGATACCTCTACCGTTATTACTCGTAGAAGTAACTAACGGTGTTAATTGACGCCATGCCCCTGTTCTGTCCGTTGCAGGCGCGTCTCCTGGAGCAGAGGTTATCGGACGTGGGCTGGACTCCAAGTGAAAACACGGAGCGGCTCAATGCCCTGCGCACCACGGTGGACGAGCGCGACAGCGCCATCACCCAGCTCCAGTCTCAGGTATGTGGGACAAAAATCACCCAGCTCCAGTCTCAGGTAACTATTCATAGAAAAGAGGCGCCAATTGGAGCAGCTGCCCATGGATATGATAACCGCTCAACCGCTTGATGTTAATCGCTTATAGAATGTCTGATCGGCTGTTGTTTATCCCATTACACAGTACGCATGACCAATATTGAAATGACTTGCGGTTTCAAAATGTCTCCAAATACTGTTGAATATTTTCGTTAAGTTTGGTCGGTACTTTTCATAGATTTCAGCGATGATCCGGTGTGCTCTGTTGATCTCTACTAGCTCTTCATTTAAACCACCTGAACCTGAAATCGTTTCCCTTATGCGTGCGAGCAGCTCGTTCATCTTCTCAGCGCGTCGTAGTCGGCCTTCTCACGACTGTCTGTCGCCCGTGGGCGCCTAACTGCCGACGCGTAGTATCTTTATTCATAATGATGACTTCTTCACTCGCCCTATACGAGTCACGAACACACTCATGAGTCACGAGGCGATCGTGGTTCTAACACACAGCCTCGTGACGGCCGTGGTTACCTATGTATTAATTGCACCGGATAACTCGGGCATTTTTTTAACTTGCACTCGCTTGCACTAACTTGCAACTAACTTGCACTAACTTTAACATGACTTGCTCGCTGTTCTAACTTGCACCCTTTGAGCTGACCACTGCATTGCTGGGGCGTCTCTGTTCAACCCGTCTCCGAGACAAGTGTCTGGCTCTCGCGGAGCTCTCACTGCGTTCTCCGCCGCGTGTCTAGGTCTGCCCGTGTACCTACTTTTCTCTCCGATCGAACACTACCACCTCTGGCTCGGTTACGGCCCCTCCGGGAAATCTGCGCAATTTTCTGGGAGACTGTCCTTCGCTGCTCGGCGATATTCATTCGCGTGTCTGATTGGCTCTATGGCGTCGCAGGCTGTGACGCTGATCGACAGCTGTTGATCAGCGTATGAGAGGGAAACAGCTAGAGGACTGACGGTGGCTAGAGTCGGACCAACTCGAGAAATCATTCATAGTGGGATTGCTTGGTCGATAGTGGAATAAATCAATCGAGAAGAGTGTGGTATCAGTAGCGTGGCGAAATAATGTCAGTCAACAACGGGGTAGGCCGGCGAGTGAGCTGGTTGAGGAGGGATAGCAGAGAGGAACGGTTAGACGCCGCTGCAAGCTTTTCTAGATGTTCTAGTATTAGCTATTGTTCAGCAAGGACTGTTGTTACGGGCAAAAATGATAAATTTTGGGAAAAAATGCGAGTTTGTCATAGCAAGGCAAGCGTCCGGATGATATTTTCCCAAGCTGTGTTATGTAACTAGATGATGTTCAACCTTGAGTGTGCAGCTTGGGAGCATCTAAAAATACCAACCACTACGCAGCATCTAAAATCACTAAATTTTCTCTCAATACCACACATTCCACCTTCGCGGTATTTCTGCGGGTGTTTCCACCCAGCGTGGTGTTCCTAGGACGGGGTGATCTGTCGTGCCGCTGCCACCACCGCTGGTCGATCGATGGTCGAGTGTGTCCCGACTGCGTGCCGCCACCGCCCGGGACGGCCGGAGGCAGCCTCCACGGCGCCGCAGCAGAACGAGACGGGACGGAGGACAGGACGGCGAGCGGCACCGAAGATGGAGAGCATGATGGAGTGGAGGACGGGAGTGGGGAACAGAATGGGTGGGGAGAAGGGCGAGATAGTTAACTAGGGCGGGAAGTGGGCAGAAGATGGATAATGGTACGGAAAATGATAGGGAGAAGAGAACGGATAACGGTAACAATTGAATGTCGTGATATGGTTGACCTGACATAAGTACGTACTTTCGTGACAAATGTAATTTGACAGTAACTATTGTAACATCGTTTGCGAATTCTGATGGAGAGTGGCGGAAGGGATGTGATGTAATTGATCGTAGCGTTCTGCTCGTGGAGCTCGCAGGCATTTGGTGGATTATCGCCGATCGATTAAATTGAAACTCGAGGAAGGCTGAACAGTGAACATTGAATAATCAGAGCTGGAAGCAGCCATACGCACGAAACCTTTCAGAGATCGCGTACGGATCGCGGCTGTCAATTATGTGCGCGCATCCCTGATTGACAAAACGCCAACCTCATCGGCTCCAGTCCTCAGGCACATCTGCCAGATATCACTCTTCCCTTCCACTTCCTGAAGGGCAAATCATCCAATCACGTGTTATATAGTTGAAAATGTACAGTGACCACTGACCATAACATATGGCAGTGGCGGCGGAACACCTTCAATTAACCCGCGCCGTGCTGGGGGGGGGGGGCGTTTTTACGCCCCCCCCCCCTCAGGTTTTTCGCGAATATCTCAAAAACGGCGGCGCGCAGCGCCGCCGTTTTTGGTACACGTGTTCCTACATCATTTCCGCACATGTTGTGAAAATTTCAGACCTAGGCCGTTCAAGGTCAGGTCACCAGGTCACGTCAAGTGACCTTACCTCAGAAAAAGTTCAAAGGCTCGCTATAGCTACACCGACTGAACGATCACTTTGAAACTTTCAGCGATTGATATGAGTAACAGTATGTATAAAATGTATATCTCGGATTTTTGATATCTGTGACCTAAGGTCAGGTCAATTTTGCGACCTCTCCATTATAAGTCAATGGGAGAAAATTGAAATGCGCCTCTTTTGGACGAATATCGTTCAAAACACTCTCAAACATCGGTTCATAGGTAAACATGACACACTGAATAGGAAAAATGCACCTGTGACCCCTCTGTGTGCCCCTGAGGTCATCTCAGGTCATGAACGGTCGCCAGCAGTTTTTTGGCTATAACTTTTGATAGAGACGTGCTAGAGCGGTGAAAACACGTCAGATGTGTTCAGCTCGACGATACGGATCGACTGATATGCAACATGACCCTTTTCGGTCAGGTCATGACCTTGACCTGAGGTCAAATTTTCAAAATGACCTTTCAAGGTCAACGAATAGTTCATTCGACGCGTCTCGACGAGAGGAACACGATGCTGGCAAAAGTAATGTCATGGCGCTTATGAGTCAAAAGTTATTGACGAAAAAACGTTTTTCGTAAAAACGGCTATTTTTGGAGTTTTTGCCCTCTGGAGGCTAAACCGTTGACCTGAGGTCAAATCTGAGAACATTACTCAGAAAGGTCTGTAAAAGGGCTATCGAATGCGCTTTTCCGCGGCGCTGTAGCTCTATCGGTTCCCGAGATAGCCGTTGGCAGTTTCCAAAATGTTGAAATAGTCAACATTTTACCTTTGGTGACCTCTGGTGACCTGACCTTTGACCTGACCCAAAAAATGACCGAAGTGTTTTCGTCCTTATTTTTGACGCTCTTTCGATTGCCGCTTACCGCGTGTCGCTACGTGGCCCAGGAGCCGAGTTAGACGGGGGGCGTGAAAACGCCCCCCCCCCCCCCCCAGCACTCGGCGGAAAGTTCAGGCCACCAGCACGGCGCGGGTTAAGGGGGAGGCACTGCCGACTTTTGGTCCCATTCTTTCCATGCAACGCCCATAGGGCTAATGTTAAAATGCCAAAATCAAAGGGGGACACGGTGCCCCGGTGCCCCCCCCCCCCGTTCCGCCGCCTATGATATATGTTATGAATAGGTATGTTATGTACATAACATACCTATTCCAAGGTGTCTGTGATGGTTTATCAGTGATACTGTGTGCCAGTGACTATGTATATTCCGCTGATCAAGGTGCCAGTGACCGTGACCTTGTATAATGTACCGCTGACCCAAGGTGTAAGTGGCACTGTGCGGTGCTTGTCATATGTCATTAACCCTCTTGTTCCTTTTCACAGGTGGAGGAGCAGCGCATGTTGCGACTGAACGAGGCCAAGCAAGTGGAAGCGAAGGCAGCCCGAATCAAAGACTGGGTCACCAACAAACTGAGAGACGTGAGTACAGCGTGGTTCAGCTCGGGGCGCTGCCTTCCCTTCAGTATACCAGTATATGTGTAGAACGACCCGGGGCGCTGAACAAAGCTGACAGTGGCACTGTTCTGTGCCATTGCGGCACGTTTCGGCGTACTCTTCCGTTTTATTTTGCGTGACATGATAGCGCCTCTGGGGACCTTTCAGTGTCGGTCTCTTCTCTCCGTAATGGCCGACATGCTTTTGCTCTAAGCGATAAAGCGTTAAACGACACGTGCTCCGGCTTTCCCTCTTCCATTTAACTACCTCTGCTCTTCTCCCTCTCCCTCTCCCTCTCCCTCTCCCTCTCCCTCTCCCTCTCCCTCTCCCTCTCCCTCTCCCTCTCCCTCTCCCTCTCCCTCTCCCTCTCCCTCTCCCTCTCCCTCTCCCTCTCCCTCTCCCTCTCCCTCTCCCTCTCCCTCTCCCTCTCCCTCTCCCTCTCCCTCTCCCTCTCCCTCTCCCTCTCCCTCTCCCTCTCCCTCTCCCTCTCCCTCTCCCTCTCCCTCTCCCTCTCCCTCTCTCTCTCTCTCTCTCTCTCTCTCTCTCTCTCTCTCTCTCTCTCTCTCTCTCTCTCTCTCTCTCTCTCTCAAGTGTCGGCTGTCAGGTCTGCGCCTGAAGTTGTTATCTTTCATGAGTGACGTGGCCGCCATAATCATCATCACCATCATTATGATGCCCTCTTTTGCTTGATATATTGCAGGATGTGTGTCGAATTTATCGTTTCACGCTTGTGGTTGAGTTCGTGTCTACAAACCCAATGGCTAGGCGCAAGCGCCAAGACAAGCCCTAAGGTGATAGCTCCACTGGCTTCCCTGTATTGTCTTTTTTCGTTTATTGGTCTATTATACCGATGAATTAAACCAGCCACTTTAAAGAAGTCCTCATTTCTTTGTAGGTGCCTCAAAAATCGGCTAGCTCTCCTCCCCCGCCCGTACCTTTAGATATCCGACAGATGTCTTCCCCGGCCCTTGGCCTTGGATATCGGAGAACCCTTCCCCTGTCTTTGCCTTTAGACACCGGACAGCCTCTCTCTCGGCTCAGTTTGCAACTCCCTCCCAGCTCAGACAGCGCTCCTCCTTCACCTCCCGGAGCCGACTATCACCGTTATCTGGGCGCCATAGCTCTCCGGCGCCGCCCGGCCCCTGATTGGCTGGTAATCCGGCGACCTGTGACCTTTGGCCGGCCACCGCCCGGGGGCACGATGGGTCCGGCCGGCCGCGCGGGGAGCGGCTAGGTGTCAGCCAATCATCCCCGATTATTGGAGAGCCGCGAAGATTGGCTGGAAAGTGATACGGAAGCTCACTGAGGCCAACTAGAGGTTAAATTTGCAGAAACGAAAACTGAGCTGCTGGCGACTATTGAGACAAAATGTACAATGTAATTGTATAAGCTTGTTCTGGACAATAAACCTTATGCTGACTTTGAATTATTATTTTACCAGAAACTGCTGCAATATGAATGGCATATGAACTGCCAGTTTGGCAAGAAATTAGTCAGAGACTGCTCTATTTCATTTTTAACGCCCTCGTTTCATTTATGCCATCAAAATGGCGTTCCCGCCTTGAATGTTAACTGAACAGCGCGCGGTCTGTGAGTTTTATGTGGACTTCTGGGTTCATCATATTCAGAACAAATCTCTGTTCACGGTACGTATAATTGAATAGGTCCAATCTCGGACGGATTCAGAAAGGTGGGCGCTTATTTAAATGTTGTTCTTTCTTTGTCTGACTTTTACGTGGAGATGGCCGTGCATCGGCATTACGTTAGCCACAGATAACAGTAGTACAGTACTACTGTTATCTGTGCGTTAGCGAAAAATTCATGAAAACGGTGTTGTCGAGGCCTTATGATATTTATTGCCTAGTCGCCCTGCGGTTTTAGGAAAATGTTGTTATGCTTCTCGCATCCGTCAGTGCTGTTATTTAGTTCGTTTTGCTCCTTTTGATACAATAGGCTTTATCATTTTAATTTACTATATTTCCAAAAAAGCTGCAACGTTTCCAGCCTCCAGACCAGTTACCAATCTCGCCGATAGATGGCAGTGATGGTGAGCGCCTGCAGTTAGGCTGTGCCGCATAGCTCAGCCGCCTTCTCGGCGGTCGGCCGCGTGCGGTCGGACGTATGGCTTAGCTGCCGCGGTCCTTGAAAGGGGTCGTCAAACGGCGGCATTGAAAGCTGCCACACGGAGGAAATGAGGTCGTTGAATAATGGCCTACCATTAATCATCCGCCGTTGTATTCGACAAAGCCGGGCCGACCATTCCACTTGTGAACATTAATTATCGGGTCTAATGAGACCGTACGTTACGCCGCAGCGGAATCTCTCACTAGGCGAGTTTCCGAGCGGGTTTTGGGGACCATCGCACCATTCTGTCTTCCATTCTGGCCCGTTTAGCTCTCTAGCGTATCAATTACACCGCAGTTTCCCTTCTTAACCTAATCCTGTGGGTCCGTTTATTTATCATACTTTACAACCAACAGTCCACAGCCTCCGGTATTGCCCTGTGAGTGCACTCACATTCTGCACACCACAACCTCCCGCCGTTGGTAGCCTGCCCCCTCCCTACCCCCAGGTGGAGCGCGTCTTACCACGAGCACGTACGACCGCCGCCGTTTCCGGACCGTCCTAACACCATTGTCGCCACTAATGGCCGCCGGCCTGTCCTTAACGAGGCCGTTAATTTGTCACCGGCTCGTGTAGTGCGCACCCTGCTGCGAGTTAAACGGTCTGCCCTGGGGCGACGAACGAATGACCTCAGAGACCCAGCGCCACCTCCCTGCGGCCGGGTGACCTCGATGTGAACGAGGCACGCTCCGCTTCTGCGGGAGCTACCGGCGGGCCCGGGGGTCGGCTCTTTGTTATGCGTCAGCACGATTCGCTGGTCGCCGCGACCGGCTTCCTCGGTTACTGTGTGCACTGCAAATGAGAGCCCCGTATTCTTTTGTCTCTGTTTGATGTTGGTTTGAGAGGACGGAGGGACGCCTTTCTGTCACAGTGAAATACTGGGAGATCTGACAGAATGGATGTTTGTTTGATGAATACGCTGACGAATGCGTAGGAATGATTTGATTTTGGAAACATTGATATCGTAGTGCTAAATGCGCTAGAGAAGCATCACGAGCAATACGGCTGACGGCTAGCTATAATTTCTTTTTTAACAGAGCGGCACATTTTCCTTACTCGTATCATTCATTGCTATTTTAATATAGATTTAATATATAGTTAATAGATGATTGCTTCGACATGTCTCGAAAATTCATCTTCAACACTGGCATTCACGAATAGAGCTGTCGTGTCTCATTCTACATAGTGTTCACGTTTGGTGTAGTGTTCACTGTTCACGATATTGTGCTCATTCCCGACTGCCTTTGTTCGGCAGCTGGAGGAGCAGAATCAGTACCTCCGGGAGCAGAATCAGCGGTGTAACGAGCAGTTGCAGCTTCTTCGGAACCGGCTCACCCAGCTCAACGAGTTCAAGGCCAAACAGCGAGCCAGCACAGAGGTAAGGACACATGGGCGCCGCTGCTGTGACCTGTTTGCGCATGGGGGGTGCTTGATTGTGCGTGTTTTTTTTTTTTGTCTCAGATGATCTTTTTCGCTTTGTATTTTAGCTTTCTCGCGAAACATGATGCTTGGACGTTATGTGGATGGTAATAACTTGCAATTGCTCTTACTTGACTGTGGAATGTGGAATGTCCCATGTATGTATGTATGTCAAGCATTGCCCGTTGACTTACATGTTGTCGGTTTCGGAACGAGCGTTAGTGACGTCATTGACCCTCTCTGACGTCACTGAACGTTGTCGCGCAGTTCGCGAACCAAAGCGGTAGTTTACCCTAATTCAATTTGTCGCGACAACTGCGCCGGGGTCGACTAATGCCCGGGTTCTGTGACGGCACTCACTCTGATTTCGCTCTATGGAATGAGCTGTCGTTAGTTTTGTACGCTGCACAGTGGCCCTTTTTCAGAATTAGCACGCATTAATACCCACATTACCTAAAAGTGGTGCAAGACATCACCACGTGATCAAGGACGTATTCCCTGCCAATGCAAAGAGAGGAAAAGAAACGAACTAGCCCAAGGAGATTCGGCCCAACAGCGACAGGCCGCTCGGCCCAAGCTTTGGCGCACGTTCGCACGGCTCGCCCGCCGGCCAGGCCGCTCCGAGCGCAAGTGTGGCGAGCCCGCCAGCCGACCGCGCTGCACTGACCGCCAGGACGCCCCAGGGCGTCACGTGACCGCATCTACAGCTGTTGCCAGCCACCGTTAGTATAATTTCAATTAGCACATCTTATGGCAAAAGTCAAGCCACATTTAGGCGCACACCAGGTGACACCAGTTTCGAGCCAGGTCAATGAGCTTAGTCGTATCGACTCAGGAGCCACAGCCGCTCGCAGACTGAACTGGCTCACGCTATCCACCGTAAAAGCAAAATGGCGCAAAATGGCGCGATGCCCTTTGGTGGACATGGTCAGAAGAGATCGGCGATTCGAACGATGTATAATACGACATGTGCTGGAGTGTGCTACTTAACATAAAGCTTCATATGTATGCCGCCATCTCCAGTTAATAATTGTCCTGTTATTGTGTCCACAATATTCGGCAGAAGTAGTCTATCTAAGCTTATATAATGAAAATAGTGGTTTCTAGGGCTTCTACGTAAACTCAGCTTCACATCCATGCCACTAATTTTTAATATTTTCGCATCGAAAGTCTTACAAATTGATGTTCATTCTACTCCACTTTTTAGGGTCCGCCGGTGGTGTCCGCGCGCTTCTCAACAAACTTCGATTTTGCGGTTAGTTTTACCAAAGATAGTTATTTTTTAGGAGGTAAAAATGGCACCATCGGATAGTTTGGAATGTTTTGCACACGATTAGACTGCTTTTTACTCAAAAGAAGAGAAAAAATATTTTGAATTTATGCGTGCTAATTCCGAAAAAGGGCCACTGTGCGCTGTGTACCGCGCGGCGGTCATTGGGTCAAATGTTTGGGGAGCTCACGCCGGGGTGCGGCACTCCGTCAGTGTGTGCACTTGGTCTGACTACGCCGTACCGGTGGTCAGCTAATTTTGGGTTTACGCCGTTCGGACAGACAGCGGCGAGGCTCAATGTAAGGCTCCAGGATAATTCTAATTTCTTGGTTGCGACCTTGATTGACTCAAAACAAAGCAAAATTCGTTGTGAAGTGTAACTATGAACGCTCGATTCAGTGAATCGTTGGAACGTTCCTTGTAGCCGGGTGGTCTGAATTGGTTTGATATTATACACAAGAACCCAACCTTGTGTAATAGTGAATAAGATGCATACATAAGATTTATTTGCTTCTTTTGTTTGACGTGCCCTCGCTAAGGCGTTTTTGTTAACCCTTTGCTCATTGGAGATGTCTGTTGGTTCCTTCTTCACTGTGTGTAAAGGCGTGCTGTTTTTGCCACTGAGCAGACACCAGGTAATGACATTGTTTGCCTGTAGTTACTTCTGTCGCGTAACCCAACACGGAAGTGTTCAGCCACAGGATAAAACGATCCCCCTTCCTTGTTACTCATTACCCGGCGCCGCCTGTCCTATTTGATCTCACCACACTTCCACGCTGAGTTCAATCGTTACACCGCACGGTCCCTTTGCTTAAGCGCTGGACGGCAATAACATGCGTGGGAGGCGGACTTGGCCCGAGCGTGGCGCGGGGGCGGCAGACGTGGTGCGCGGGCGGCCGACGCGGCGCGGCGGTCGCCTTTATTGAGCAGCTGACGTGTGCTGAATGGTGTCCGGGTGATTTAGAAGTCGGGTACCGGGCCTAGTTGGCAGAGTCGGTCGAGCGGGATGGGGTTGGGCTTCGTCAGCTCATAGGGGGTGGGGGTGAGGGGGCTAAAAGAGTTGAGCACCTCTTTCCTGCATATAGTTAAGTTAAATGTAAACCACCATCTAACTAGATGTAGAAGCTGCTCATAAGCTGAAAGAACCACGTCGGCCGCGGTCAGTTTCAGAATAGATGACCGGTGCGCCACGCAGGTCTGTTATACGACAGGCGGTGGACATATTGGATATGGATGGCTCGCTGCGAGCAACTTCGCGTGGTTTTGAGGCGAGCTATCGGTGTCGCGTGAGTGTCACGAGAATACAGATAACCTTTGAATTGGGAAGCTCGATATAAATCTAGCTGATCGTGCTGGACGGTATAAATCATAAGCGTCTTGTAATATGTTCTAAAAATAAGCAGCTAGACTACGTTTGGAGTCAAATCAAGGCACCAACCCTATACACTACCGAGTAAGCCTGCATTCACACAGTCCGAACGCCCGCAGAGTGTACCGGTCTTTATCGCCGTTGGTACCGCCGCTCCTCGTGGCCCGCCGGCCGGTCACCATGAGCCGTCGGTGGCTGTCGGTGGTCTCTGTGCTGTGATCGACCCGCGGGCCGACCGCCTCTCATCCCATTACGGAGTGGCGGACCGCGGTGACCGGGTCACATCCCCAGGGAGGCCTACAGACGGGCTGTCCACCCGCCGGGGACAATAGAAGGTCGCAGGACGGGCGGGTCGACCATACTCGGGGACACAATGGAGGCCCATGAACGGGCCATCCACATGGAGATATAGGTACAGTAAAAGCCCAGGGGGCGAACAGTCCTCAAGCGTGGAAACAAACCGATAATTCACATTTGGACTACGTATACGAGTACTATGACTGACATTCAGTGGCGCAGCCAGGGGGGGGGGGTGAAAGGGGTGAGATCTCACCCCCGTCTCATATCCTAGGGGCCCACCGTCGATTCAAACTAACGTTATGCAGCCTGACAATTTTTTATCATAATGTCAAGGTCCGTCATAGGACTGAAAAACAGTTTTCAGGTCTGATAGCCCCCCCCCCCCCTTTAGGATTTATAGTCCAATTTTATAATTTAAGAGGGTACATCCAAGACCCAATTGAACTAATCCAAAGCCTCGGAGGGCCCGTTCCATGGCATGGGAGGGCCATTTCAGGCCTGAGAGGGCCCATTTCAGGTCTGTGAGGGCCCATTTCAGGCCTGAAGGGGCCCATTTGAAGCTTGAGAGGGCCCATTTCATGCCCTAGAGGGCCTGTTTTAGGCCTGAGAGGGGCCTATTTCAGGCCTGAATGGGTCCATTTCAAGCCCTAGAGGGCATGTTTGAGGCCTGATAGGGCCCATTTCAGGCCTGAGAGGGGCCCATTTCATGCCTGAGGGGGCCCATTTCAAGCTTGAGAGGGCCCATTTCATGCCCTAGAGGGCCTGTTTGGGGCTAGAGAGGGCCCGTTTGAGGCCAGAGAGGGTCCGTTTGAGGGTGAGAGGGGCCCATTTCAGGCACCATTTCAGACCTGAGAGGGCCCAGTTACGGTATGAGGGGGCCCTTTTTCGACATTTCCGGGCTGAGGGGCCCATTTCAGGTCTGAGAGGGTCCATTTTTCAGGTCTGAGAGGGCTAATGTCAGGCCGGAGAGGGCCATTCCAGGCCCTAGAGGACCTATTTGAGGCCTGAGAGGGGCCCATTTAAGGTCTGAAAGGGCTAATGTCAGGCCTGAGAGGGCCCATTTCAGGCCCTAGAGGACCTATTTGAGGCCTGAGAGGGGCCCATTTCAGGCCTGAGAGGGCCCATTTGATGCTGTGAGGGCCCATTTTAGGCCTGAAGGGATCCATTTCAGGCCCTAGAGGGCATGTTTGAGACCTGAGAGGGGCCCATTTCAGGCCTGAGGGGGCCCATTTCAAGCTTGAGAGGGCCCATTTCATGCCCTAGAGGGCCTGTTTGAGGCTAGAGAGGGCCCGTTTGAGGCCAGAGAGAGCCCGTTTGAGGCCAGAGAGGGCCTGTTTGAGGGCTGAGAGGGGCACATTTCAGGCATAAGAGGCACCATTTCAGACCTGAGAGGGCCCAGTTACGGTATGAGGGGGCCCTTTTTCGACATGATAGGAACCATTTCCGGGCTAAGGGGGCCCATTTCAGGTCTGAGAGGGCCAATTTCAGGTCTGAGAGGGCTAATGTCAGGCCTGAGAGGGCCCATTTTAGGCCCTAGAGGACCTAGTTGAGGCCTGAGAGGGGCCCATTTCAGGTCTGAGAGGGCTAATGTCAGGCCTGAGAGGGCCCATTTCAGGCTCTAGAGGACCTATTTGAGGCCTGGGAGGATCTACTTCAGGCCTGAGAAGGGCCCATTTCAGGTCTGAGAGGGCCCAGTTCAGGCCTGAGAAGACATCCCAGGAATGAAAGGATCATCCTATGTGTGGGAGGGTCCGTACTCCGTACTCCGTGCCTGGTCTGGGTCTGAGAGGGCCTACCCCAACCCTGATTGAGCCGATATCATGTTTGATATAGGTCAACTCACCACATGTATATTGATGGCCCAGTTCATGTCTAATGGGCCCATCTCAAGACTCAGAGATTTTATGCTTCAGGAAGCCTAACCCAAGCGTGAGGGGGCCCATATAGGTTTTTGAGGCTCATGAAGGTCAGAAGCGGCGGAACACCTTCAATTAAGGGGGGAGCACTGCCGACTTTTGGTCCCATTCTTTCCATGCAACGCCCATAGGGCTAATGTTAAAATGCCAAAATCAAAGGGGGGCACGGTGCCCCGGTGCCCTCCCCGTTCCGCCGCCTATGATGGAGGTCCCGCAGTACGATATGTCAGCCTCTGAGAAAGCCATGCAGGGCCTTGCCAAGCCGACATCTAAAAATCTTCTCTTCAGGCCTGTGCCTGCCTCACCGCCCGGCCCCACCCCGACGTCTAGGGGTTTGACGCCTAGGTATTTATCAGGACCCCACACCGGTCCATGATGGCTCCAAACTGACACCTGAGGCTCCTGCACCGGCTTTTGAGGGGCCCACCGACCTCTGATAGTCACCACGCAGGCCTCAAAAGACCATGTCGATTGTCGATTGATATCTAAACCCCGAAGTCTTGGAAGGCCTGTGCTCTATGCAGATTCTTGAGGGCTTTACGTGGGCTTGTAAATATCCCAAACTGGCTCTAGCCTAGCTCGACCGCGCCCCGCAGAGCAGGGCCCCAGGCTTTCCAGTTTTACGCCCCTGAGGGGTGTTTGAATATTCCTTTCTAACCTGACTCCAGGGTCACGTAGCGACAAGTGCGGCGGTAGGCGGCTTTCTAAAGAGCGTCGAAAGTCATGGAGAAATTACTTCAGTCATATTGCAGTTCAGACCAAAGCACACGTCATCATGTTCATCGAAGGAAAAGTTTCGCCTATTTCGACACTCGAGGACATAAAAAGCTATAGCGCGCTGAAAATGGGTTCGATAGCTCTCCAACTCGTGCAATCAGCCATGGGGGGGGGGGGCGTATCGGCCAAACCCGATCATAATTTAAGACGGCTAGAAAGACGAGAAAAGCAACGGATAGCTATAGGATGCTTCAGAATCGTAGAGGTCATTTTTCGATTAGGTCATCGCTGAGGTCATTGAAGATGAAATTATGATAAAATTATGATAAACACAAAGACAAGATTACGACGAAAAAAATTCTTGTTTTTATATTTTTCACAAATAACCGTATAACTCGTCAGCCAAAGAGCTAGAGCTTTGCGGAACAACTCATTCGATAGGCCTTTCAAAACGCTTTCGCTTTTAAGATTTGACCTCAATGCCTCATGTCAATGGTTTGGCAACAGAGCAGAGGGTAAAACCGGCAAAACCATCTAAAAAGTCGCATTTTACCAAAACAGTTTTGTTAAGAGTTTTTGCAAGGACTTTGGTGAGAAAAACTATGAGACATTTACTTTGTCATCATTCTCTTGTTAACATGCATCGAATGAGCTACCTATATTTCACATAAAAAGTTCAACTTCAAAATGCGACTGCAGATCAAGATGCCCTTACTTGAGAAGTTCATGACGGTCATCAACCGATCCGTATGGATGATTAACACCTTCAAGACAATGTCATAACTCTACCTCGTCTCCTATATCAAAAGTAACAGTCGAAAAACTGATGTTGAGCTTTTTTAAAGGCATTTTGACCTAGCCCGACCCTTTGAGTGGCTGCTGGCCATCAATTGCACGCTGTCCATCAAATAGGTATGGGCAGAATGGTCGTGTTTCTGTAAATATGCTGTTGTTTTTTTTACGTGCCTCTTCAGATCAAGAGATGTTTGTCCTTTTCCCCGATTTGGCTGGTAATGATGACAATGATCTGACCTTTCGTTGTTGGTAAGGGGCCCCCATTTGGTTGAGGGGGGCCCACTTTGCTGGGGGGCCCATCGCGAACGTCTCTTACCCCCGTCGCCAGAGTTCTGGCTGCGCCACTGCTGACATTATACGCTGGAGATGTCACGAATGGAGTAACAGTTACGTTGTCAGGGAACAGTTCCCTCGTCTCTGACACTGTTCTCTTTGCTGGCAGGACTCATCGCGCGGCAGCTACGAGGGTGACCGACCGGGCAGCGACGAGAGCATCCCGCCGGAGCTCCCTGCACGGCGGGTACCACCTCTCGACCCCCACGCACTCTACGCAGAGGTTGACCGGTCGCGGAAGGGCCGCGCCGCACCTCCGCCTGCCGGGCCGCCGCCACTCACCGTCGAACGCAAACGCTACGCGCCCAGCGACGCTGCCGGCAGCGGCGGCGGTATGCGGGCCTCACGCGACTCTCGCGTCGACTCCGGCTCGGTGGATCTGGAGACGCCACACGACCTGTCACCCAACACTCCTCCGGAGCTAGCGCCGGCTCCTCCGCCTCGCGGCCGACCGCCGCCGCCCACAGCCGCTGAGGATGAGATGCACGACTACAGTGAGATCTACACACCGAGCGCAGACGGCTACCGATGGCTGCGGGAGGAGGGGGCCGGCGGAGACAGCAAGCCGCCCACTCCGCCGCTGCACCGGTTTCCGTCTTGGGAGGCCAAAATCTACCAGGTGAGGGGCTGTGCGGGACGGGCTGGGGGTGGGCATTCGTGGAAAGATGGGTAGCTGGTGGAGTAGTTAGTACCGTCGAGTGGCGGACGGTCTTTCGAGCGGAGCCGCCCCACATGGGACCAGCGGGACTCTGTGCCACTAAGGGACGGGAGGCGGACAGTTCTACTGGAATAGGATCATGTACCGAGAACGGACCTGTTGGACAGTTAGCTGGAACGGTAGCATGTACCGAGAATGTACCCGTGTTGAAGTGCTTCCCGGTATCACTGCCTAAGTGGAATGGATTAGACCAGATTTGTTTTCTAGAATCGCAGCTCAACCGTCCCGCTGAATTTACATGTCTATCTGCTCTCAACTCTTAATCTTTGAGGTGCTGTATCTGAGGTAAAGATGGGACAGAATCATGGTGTCTTTTTCCCCTCACCTCACTTGACTGTATCCTCCCCCCCCCCCCACACACACTTCCACTCCTCTGACTGACCCCGACTTGTGTCTCCAGGTGGCCCAGAAGGGCATTGCATCACCGGCGGCACTGGGAACGACCACCAACGGGGCCGGATCGCGACTCTCCACCGTGTCCAACTACTCGGACGTATCTGTGCCAGTCTACGCCACCGTCAAAGGGGTGAGTACTGAGTATTATTATTATTATTATTATTATTATTATTATTATTATTATGTCAAACATCCACCAACCACAGAACAGTGGGCATTACGGTGGCATAGCACAAACAGACGCACACATGCATACAATTTCACACATATTCATATATGAGCACTTAATCGACTAACACAATATTCGGCGCAGTGTGAAGCAATCCATACGCGAAGATATAAATAACCATGTGTCTCATGTATGGCAATTAAACTGTGTGCTCCTTTGTTTGAAGATATTTAATCAATTCCTTTTTAGATGCACTTCTTATCTGTGTCGGCAAACTGTTCCACAATTTTGAACCCTGGTATGATAAGGAGCGTTTTAAGAAGTCAGTTTTAGGAGCAATAAGATCAAGGTTACAAGCCTGTCTCGTATTACGTTCCGATTTCCTGGTCCTAAAGAGGGATGAAAGTAACGGCGACATGGTTTCTGAATAGAGTAGGCACTGGCGAACAACGGTGAGGACAGCAATGTTGCATTCCAACTCGAGGTCACCGCGCCATGCAATATTTTGATGTTCTCTACCTGCGATGCGCCGCGCAAATTTGACAATTTTTGATATTCTCTTCCTCTGAGCCAGACCACATGTGCCCCAAAGAGACACACAGAAGCGAAGATGAGGAAGAACTAGAGCATTTATCAATAATACGATGGTTTTGGGAGGTAACACATGACGAAGGTGACTTAGGCGGATTAACATGCCTATACATCGGCCTACGACGCTGTCAATATGACTGCTCCAGGTGAAACAACTGTCTATTGTCACGCCTAGACTCACCAATGTACTTTTGACGGGTATCACAGCATCAAAGATAGTAATGCTCCGCAAGTTGATTCGCCTCAAAATAGTTTTAGAGCCAAAAACAGCTACTTGTGATTTACTGACATTGATCGTCAGGCGATTTCGAGAGAACCATACACGAAGCCTGTTCAGCAATGTTTGAAGACGATTTATAATGTCATCAATGTCTTGAGGTTTACCTGAAACAATTATCTGAGTATCATCTGCGTATTGGACTAGGGAGCCCAAGTTATTGGCAACAGAAGTCATATCATTGACAAACAAATTGAACAACGTTGGGCCCAAGACACTGCCTTGCGGAACACCTGATGAGACCTTGCCTCTAAAATCATCACAGCCTCGAACATACTGACATCTCTCAGCAAGGTAGCTCTCAAACCAGGGGTGTTCAATTCCGTAATGAGAAAGTTTTTGAAGCAATATACTGTGATCAACAGAATCAAAGGCTCTGCTCAGATCTAATGACACCAAGATACATATTTTGCCGCTATCGATGGTGGACCGAATTGACTCTGTCAACGCAATGAGAGCATGGTTTACGGAATGACCAGGTCGGAATCCAAACTGCTCGTCCGATAACAGACAACAGTCTTCTAAATATGTCTTAAGCTGAAGTGAAACAACTCTTTCAAGAATCTTAGACACAACGTTTAACAGAGAAATCGGTCTGTAATTAGTCGCATCCCTGGGGTCACCTTTACCCTTAAAAATAGGGACAACTTCTGCAGTTTTCCAACACAGTGGTATGGTACCGCTGTTGATGGAGGCGTTCAAAATACGCAAAAGCGGCAGAAGCTGCCTGCCTGAGAAAGACTTAAATAAAAATGTAGGCAGCTTATCGGGACCAGCTGATGAATGCATTTTGAGCGAACGCACTACAGAACGAAGTTCGGCCAGCGTTGCTGGACGAAGATCAAATTTGGTGGATAAAACTCTAGTTGGACCAGAAACAACGTCAGTGTCATTCCTATTCCCAACAACATTAGCACTGGTGGATGAATTAGACCCTAACGAACAGAAGAAGTCATTAAATGACTGTGCTGTATGCTTATCTAGGACCTGAGTGGCCTTTGACCTACCCAAGGTCGAATTTATCAGATCCCACGTATCTCTGCTGGATGAATGAGTTGTGATACTGGACTCAAATTTTAAACGTCGCTCTGAGGAGATGGCACTCCTTACCTGCCGGCGCATGCGCTTATAAAGAGCAATGTCAGCTGGGGAACCAGAGACACGAGACACACGCAGCTGAATAGTTGCTGAACGGATAAGCTGTCTTGTTTCAGCTGAAATACCAAAACCAGATTTATGTTTAAGTGAAATAGTAATGAATGGGGCATGACGATCGATGACAGGAGTTACAGAGTCTGTCCACCCTTTCCATGCCTCATCAAGAGAAGTATCATCACCTATTTGTGACCAGGAAATCGTCCGTAAATCTCTAGAAAATGACTCAAAATCGATATTTTTCCAGTTGCGGAATGTTATTGCTTTGGGTTTCACTTTAGTTCTCCTTACTTTAATTTTTGCTATAACTAAGTTATGATCGGATGCAATACAGTCTAGCGAAGAGCATTCTGTCACAATAGAAGAATCACTAACAAGAACTATGTCAATGAGGGTGGAACTAGAGCTTGTAATGCGGGTCGGGTGGCTGACGCACTGTTGCAGTCCAGTATTGCCGATGACAGAAAGCAGTGATCGAACGTGGGGAAGGTTTGGTTGAAGCAGATCACAGTTTAAGTCGCCACACAATACAACACATTTACCTGCCGATAAGAGCTTTTGAATCGATAGCTCTAGCGCCTCAAAATCTAATTTAATGCCATCGTACTTGGGCGGTCTATAGACACAACCTATGGCCAGTGCTCGGTTATGGCCACACTGTACATTTATCCAAGTTAACTCAAGCCGGCTGGAGCCATGAAGAGCCGGGCTAGAGAGTTTCGAGAACGTAAGGTCATTGCGGCAGTAGATGGCTACACCGCCGCCCTTCTTCCTCGACCTATCGACTCTACTGGCCAACTTCATACTGGCAATGGGTACATCAGGCTCACCCCTCCTTAGCCAAGTCTCTGTAAGGCACAACACATCAATGTGGTGACGCTTAACATAATCTGACACAATATCTGATGAGGGTGTCAAAGATCTTACATTCAGGTTACCTACTGATAAGACGTATTTTGATGACGGCACGCGACTATGGCTGATGCTGGTACCCAGCACTCTACATGGACTCGAGACCAAGGCAGCGGCTACTGATGGCAAGGAAGGCGAGGTACGAGACGCGGGGACTGGGGAACCTGACGATTCCTTGGCTGGCTCATTAACTACACTATGTTTGGGTCTTCGGTGCTCAGACCCTATAAAAAAGTATTTCCTGTCAACTGTAAGATCGAGCTGAGGGTCTGCGTGGCACCCTCCCTATTGTAGTGAACTGCGTCTCTCGCTAATCCGCTGAATCTACAGCTGTGCAGAGCCTGCCGCAAGTCAATAAATTTGATGTCAGGACTCTGTGAGCAGAGAGTGCGCAGCCTATTGTTGACGCTCTCAGATCTGCTGTAGATGAAGGATCCGGTGTCCTTTCTTGGGATTATACTACATATAAACACATCGCTTACACCATCCCTACGCTTAGTTTGGTCAGCTAAACTGAATATGTCCTTTGCGACCAGTTCGGATCCTTTGCGAGTTACGTCATTAGTCCCAGCATGTATAACAACCCGTTTAGCACCACATTTGCGTATGGCCTGGCTGATGTCCTGTCTCACGTGCTCGGTAGTGGCACCTGAGATGGAGTGAAAAGCGGGTTTACTGGGGCCGCGTTCACTCATTCCCTCGAGGCGCCTCACGTTGGAGTCACCGATCACCAGCAAAGACGTCCCTGCATTAGCGGGCTGGCGACCGGCGTGCCGTTCTCCAGCGGTCGTCCGGTGTTGGCGAGATAAGTCCTCAGCTGTCAGTAGCTGCTGTGTGTCAGCCTCTGCTGGGTACTGGGCATGACACGCTGAAGAGCGTTCAGGTTGACAGCCGTTCTGCTGCTGCAATGAATGAACCAGCTGCCTCACCTGACTGATGTCTTCAGCCATCCTGTCCATTTTAAGCTGTGTCAGTCGCACTGCCTCCATCACATCCATCAGAGTGACCGCCAGGAATGATGGTCCAGGCACAGGCTCAGATGGCTCAGTCGGCGGCGACCGATTGTGTGACAGTGGCTTCTCGGACGGCGGCTGGGAAGGCACAGATAGCGGCTGTGGCAGCTCTGATGGCGGCTGCTGCCTCTCAGGTGGCGGCGGCTGCTGCTGCTCGGATGGCAGCTGCCGCCTCTCGGGTGGCGGCTGCTGCCTCTCAGGTGACGGCTGCTGCTGCTCGGGTGGCGGCTGCCACTGCTCGGGTGGCGGCTGCTGCTGCCTCTCAGGTGGCGGCTGCTGCCTCTCAGATGGCGGCTGCTGCTGTTCAGGTGGCGGCTGCTGCCTCTCGGGTGGCGGCTGCTGCCTCCCAGGTGGCAGCTGCTGCTGCTCGGGTGGCGGCTGCTGCCTCTCGGGTGGCGGCTGCTGCCTCTCAGGTGGCGGCTGCCGCTGCTCGGGTGGCGGCTGCTGCCTCCCGGGTGGCGGCTGCTGCCTCTCGGGAGGCGGCTGCTGCCTCTCGGGTGGCGGCTGCTGCCTCTCAGGAGGCGGCTGCTGCCTCTCTGGTGGCGGCTGCTGGTGCTCGGTTGGCAGCTGCTGCTGCTCGGGTGGCTGCTGCTGCTGCTCGGATGGTGAGCCTATGTGGTTACGGAGGGCGCGTGCGGAGCCATCACCACGATCACCACCTGTAGGCTGTAATGGTGAGCCTTGTAGATGTGACTGGTGATTGTCACAGTCCTGAGAATGAATAGGACATATCCATTCTGTGACAAGTTCACCGATCCTCTGTTCCTCACAGCGACTATGAACGAAACTGCAGCAGTCAGCAAATGTGCACTTGATCACTGCATTTGCTCTAGTGCGGGACCGCAACACGAGTCGATCGGAGGCCTTGTTACACACCATGCATGTTGAAGACTCGTCAGTTCTTTGAGCACTGCATGCGCGTTCAATATCAGTGTCGTTCACAGCATGCGTTGGGCCAGGGTTGAGCTCCACGTCACCAGCTAATAGTAGTAAGAGGACAAGATACAAACGTCTATTGTCATACTTGCGGTGGTGTCGCTTGCAGGGAGCTGGGCGTGGGAGTATGACGGTCAGCTGAGCAGGGACCCTGCAGCTAGACCAGGGTGAGTACTCCACGGTATCTTGCCTTTGACTCACAGCGGTCAAAATCACAGCTGTAAGCAGTACGTATGTGTAGACCCTTCCGAACATGGTTCAGACTCCGTTTAGTTCAAGACGAATAACTTGCTAGTGAACATATCTATATTACTATTTGAGGTGACGTAGTTTCTGTCTATTACCAAGGTCGCGACATGGTGCTACGTAGCGCGGGTTACAGGTCACACCGTTGCACCTACCGCGCTGAAGTTTGCGCAACTCATAGAACAAGGATGGACAACGTGCCTTTGATGGGTCTCAGCTCGATCGGGTCGATAGCGAGCGCGTGGCGCGTGCCCGAAAAGTGCAAATTCGCGTCATAGACTTTACATGTATAAATCGGCTTGCAAAAACGGGCGAATATGGCTAAATTTGCCCGACACGGGTCCGGTTTCCGTGCAATATCTCGGTAATCGTGGGCCCGATTGGCACGGGGAAAACACCATCGTGTAGAGAATCGAACGGGCTATCGAATGGTGTGCGGTGCGGAGGATGGCAGCGCCACGTGCACACGTGAGGGCAATTTTATTTCAGAAAGTGCCGTTTTAAATGGATTTTGGATTTTATTTTATTTTCACGTGACCGTCAGAATGAGTGAGTCAAAACAACGCCTATTCGCAGGAGAAATGTACCGCCTCTCATAATAAAATTGTGAAAAGCTAATTGATCAAAAACAAGGTGGAAAAAAATAGCTGAAGAAAATGGTATTTGTCCATAATGTGCCACTAAATAATTACACGGGGTTTGCTGCTTAACCTAAAACGTTTGATAATTGAAAATGCTTTCATTGGAAAGAGCATTCAATTCTCTCCAAGATCCAATCATCACGTTTGCATGACAAGCAACAGTATTCTTAAAAATATAAATGTTTCAAACCTCTGCAAATCCATTTTTAGCGAAAATTATCTACGCCTTTCATTTGTCAAAAAACTACGCACCTGAATTATAAAACACATTTGACAGGTTCACTGAACTATTGACAGGTTCTGAAGTAGAAAGCATGCTTATCAGACACGGGCACCTCGATCCGATGGATATTTTTTCCAAACCAAAACGTTTAGCCATCAAAAAGCAATCGACCGAAATGGATAGATAACCCAACCGACACAAGAACAACCAAACACCCGCCGATCGTAAATACCCCCTTTTCGCGTTGCGGAGCACGCGGGTCACCCTAGTATGTCACTATGTAGTGTCACATTCAAAGTTGGTGACTACTCGAAGAAGACGTCTTGCAACAACGTCACGTTCTTGGTCAAATCAGGGTCTTGCAAGGGTTTTAGGAATTTATTCAGGCCAAAATTCCACAAAACACACCAAAATTGGAGAACGATATTGAAAATAATTCTCACCTTTAGGACTTATCTTCGCGGCCCATAACAGATAAAGCTTGAGCGAATCTACGTACATTCAAGACAGCTTGTAGTCAAACGTCATATCTTCATACGAAGAGTTCAAAAACCTGCGCCAAATCATGCCACAGGTGCGCCGAAGACATCGTGGAGGTAAGACAGTCCTTTTTAATAATTATACGAACTTAATTGCGTCGAAACACTATGCAACCTGTCTTATGCAACAGAGAAAGACGTTCGCAATAGGAGATGCCCAATAACACTGCTAAAACCTTCAGCAAATATTCGATTTCTATCAGAGCTTTTGATGTCTAAAAAGCAACCGACGCAATTTTGGTTGGGACTTTTCAATTAAGAACAATCACTATTCTTTAGAATTGTGATTTTCTATTGAAAATCCCAACCTGAGCTACCTCTCTAGGGGGGTGTTTAGCGTTTCTGCCGCGATTTGGGACATTTTGACTCCCGCAAAAACGGCACGGTAAAATTTCTTGCCATTTTCAGCGTTTGGTCCCCTATGGGGAGCTACCGGCTGGCATCGGTCGCTTGAAATATAATTAACCCGTTTTGGGGTAATCGGCACGTGCATTTTCCCATAAGGTTAACATGGGGAAAAATTTAAAATGCGATTTGCGCAAAAACTCCACGTTAGAAATGGATTGTTTTTTTAGGATGGGTTCTCGGGTCGGGACTCCACCTGCCGGTGGTGGCCGTTTAAAATATAATTATACTTCCTTGGGGTAATCGGGACGGATAGTTACCCCATGTTGAGCCTATGGCGAATTCGAAAAATTATTTTCAAATCGATTTTGCCAAAATCGAGTACCCATCTACGCCACAGTCATGCCACAGTCAAAGGGTAAAGGCCTGAATGCTGAGTACCGAAAGGACAAACGCCTGCTGTCATTGTGTAACCTTCGGTCAGTGACTGCTACGGAGCTTATTACCCAGTCTTGTAGGCATGCTTGAAGCTTAATTGCCAAGAAGCGGATACACAAAGAGCAGTCTAACCCTAGACGGAAGGTCATTTTCAGCGATTCCTAAAATTATAGAGTGACCAATCAATGCTAGCCTAATCTCACTTTCTTATCAAGAGGATACTGGACACTGGAATTGTCCCAGAAATCCGCCCACTCTTTATCACGTGGACCAGGCCCAGCCCTCCCTCTCAGATTAATCCTGCCCCCGTTCCCGCCCCTTCAGTCCGATGGAGAGCAATATATCCACTGGCCGCCCGCCTCTCGATCGGACCTCAACTGTCAGTCCCATAATACTGCCTGACCCGCTCTGTCCAAATGCAGCCAGTCCCGCCCTGCCCGCCCCGGCTCGTCATAATTTGTCTCGACTCCCGTTTTATCCCGGCTCGTCCCCGCCCACTCTGTCCCGTCTCGACTCGGGACTCGACCCGGCCTGTCCTGTCCTGTCCCATTTCGGGCTGTCCCACTCCGTTCCGTCCCCTTCTGTCCTGTCCTGTCAGATTCTGCCATACCCTGCCACACTCCGCCACACTCCTGTCTTGATCCGACCAGTCTTATCCTATCCTCTGCCATCCACTCTCCCGTCCCTTATCGGCCCAGTTCGGCAGATATCGAGTCCGACGCTGTCGAGCCGGGTGTGGATGGGCTGGTACATTATTGAGGCGGCTCCGGCTGTGTCCAATGGTAGCCAAGACGGAGGACGCCGGACGGCCGCCGCCGCCGGGAAATGCTTCGTCTTCTGTCGATCGGATGACCGGGCGGGCACTCTTTCCACGGGAAGGTGTCATATTACTGGATCAAGGCTTCTACGTACATATCTGGAACCGCATCTATGGACGGGTCCCCGTATATTCACGCATTCCACGGATCTATGGACGTCTGAAATTTCTATATCGATTTTTGATGTGTGGGCTTCCAGTATACGGGCCAGCAGAGGCGAGTAATCTTGACACAGATGAACATCAGTCAACCTCTAGCTACTTTTTTTTTTGTTAGTCGCATTGCTTGGAGTTGAATAAAAAACTCGTAGTTTTATTGATTGTATATTTGTGACGGGTGCCGCACGACCCGGCCCGGAACGCCGGCGGCTACGATTGCCGTCGGCGGTCGGATGAGCGATGGCCGGCGCAGCGCCAAGCCGTCTGGAGTACCAGATAGGCCCGGCTACTGATTACTCTCCGAAATGGAGCCCGTAACTGTGCGGCAATCCAATGTGTCAAGGTCCAAACGGACCGCGTGTTTTTGCTAGTGTTCAGTCGGGACACCTGGAGTATTCTGAAGTGTTCAGTATCCGTATCCGTCTGGCTTCTATCTCTGCCGCAGACCGCTGTGACGCGAAGGCGAGAAGCATCGGTGGATTACCAAGGGAGAAAGATGGGAGGGAATAGTGGCTATTGGGCGGACCGAGACACTCGTATATCTAGACTCTGGGAGACGAAGAGAACTAGAGGATACTGAAGGGAGAAAATTTTGGGCTGTGGTCGGTTTCCAAAGGAAACTGACAGCAAGAGATAGACAATGGGCTGAAAATGGCAATTGGTGTCGGAGCGCCGTAAAGCCCGATACAGAAACACCAGAAATCAGAAAAAAAAAACTATTTACAAGTAGGCTTTATGGCAACTGCATTGGCAGAGAATGTGAATGAATATTATGTCATACGAATGTTGCGTGTTGTATCATTGAATGTTTGCCCAATTATTTGTGCTCCCTTCTCCTCTGTGTCACGAGTCACGATTCCGTCTCCATTTCTTGCCAGTGTGTCCTGCCTCACCGTGTCGCCTCTGTATATACCAGCGTACCTCTCACCTCTGCTCTGTGTCGTTCACCCTTCAGCTATTACTTATTACCCTAGTTCACCGCGCCCTCTGCCCGTTTCAGCGCGCCTCCCAGATCCGCTCCGTGCCGTTCACGGGGGACAGCTCGGACAGCTCGGAGGGCGAGGAGGAGCCGGTCGGAGCGGCACGCGCCGGTCGACACAGTCACACCGGATCCTCGGACGATACCGTCAGCTCGCCGTCCAAGTCCAAGTCCAGTCCGGCCAAAACCGTCAGCCCGTCACGCAGCCCACGCAGAGGTGAGCATCGAACAGAAGTAATTAACTTCTTAGATGTTTTTGGTAATAGTTGGGCCTTGCCTTAGATTTTGTCGCTAATATACCATCGTTATTTTTAGGTGAATACTTGTGTCAAAATTATGCTACTCGCCCTAGCTCGAATAATTGGCACGATCACACATCGCATTAAAGACAATTTTCTGTAATGCCGTTATTGAGCTTGATTCTGTTTTGAACCTGCGTGAAAACACCGTCCCTCAATTACTGTGGTAACGCCTGGCATTGCATTAGCCGCGTTAGTCCAAAACACCAGTCGATTTTAGTGCGTGCCACTCGAATCGACTTGTTTATACCGAGCGTTCAAGCTCATTTCCAGCTTCACTCTACCACAATGCCCAGGGTGTTATGGTATTTATTACGCCGTTAGGCTTTGCCTGTCGGTTCATGGCTCTGGTTTGAGTTCACCCTGATCTCTCCAAATATTTTGCTCAATATTCGAGAGTTCTAGCTTGCACGCACGGCGACTTCCTTCCATATTGCTCACCCCCTCCTCCCTCCCACTCCCCCCGTCGCGAGCAGCTGTTTGCAATGACCGATGTTGCGGCGGTGCGGCGGCGGCGCCGCTTACGTCGATAATGATCGGTCCGGGAGCACGCCCTGCCACCAGTGCAGCGGTGCGGTGGTGTGTGCGGCGATACGGGCAATTTTCAGTCGCTGGTAGCTTTGGTTACTACGCTGGTTTGTTCAATCGATGATGACGATGGTCATTGTGCTTAGATGTTCACTTTTCCATCGCTAGTAGCTATGACCAATGGATTATGAACACTTATGTATTTCCCTCCCAAGTCATTCAGTTTACATACTGTCGTCCTGGCTGGCCTTGCCCACTGTCCACGTCCCGTTTTCTACAGGACGGATACTCTCTGGAGCGCGCATTGGTGTCTCATGGGGCGACGTTCTGTAATAACATCGGATTATCACCATTGTCAGTTGTGGCCATTGTGCTATTGTCGCATTGTGCCTCACAATTGTGCTCTGTCTCATAATGTGGCAGGACTGGAGATAGCCAAGGACCTTTTTGGTTTATATGAGACAATTGGCATATTCTGTTTCCTTCTCCCATTGTCGTTGCTGAGAAGGTCATGCTTGCCTTCTTGGCTTATTGCGTTTTGTGCATTCACCCATCGATTTTGTCGCTATGATAAATGACCATGCGCTTTAAGCTAAGAACATTGCAAACTTCCCTAGCCTTTGCTGGCACATTTGAAACCTGTTTCGAGGACAATGCCTTTACTTTTAGATTCCGTGGGTGGTTTTCCCTTTTCAGCCTCTTTTGCTTTTGTCATTTACCCCTCTGACCCCTGGTGACCCCTCCGGCCCCCAGCTGACCCCATACTGACCCCACGTTGACCTCTCCCCCTACAGAGCACAGTGTCGAGGCAGACACCACGGCCGACTACGCGCTGCCCCCGGACGCTGACGCCGCCAGTGTGGACTCTGCCATGACGAGAGGCTCGTACGCGGCCGGATCGCTCAAAAAGGTTAGTTTTGGGGGAAGTGGCGAGGTTAAGGCGGGGTGGTTGTTACGTGGGGTAGGCGGGTTGGGTGTGTTGTTCGGAAGCTCCGCGCGGTCTGCATAGTGTTGTTAGGTGCTGAGACTAAGACCTGTCGGTAGGACGGCCGGGTGAGGTGCGCTGTATGAAATCCTTCGAGCCATCAAGTGCTATCCTGTTTGTGGTGGGCTGGCTTGGTTAAGTACGTTTAGTAAGCTGCTTAGGCCCGCTGTGTTCTGTGTTAACGGTAACGCAGGCGCCGTTTGCGCTAATGGACCTCCGCTCTGACGGACGAGCCTCAGCGTGTGCTCCATCTGGGCTGATGTTCGCCTGGCGACCCAGATAATGCCACCCTAGGGAACTGTTCAACAATTTATGCGCCCAGTGCTATGCTTAACAGGCAAGATCGACGTGGGAAGCAATTTATGCGAGAGAGACACGATTCTTGGCAGTGTTATTAAATATCGAAATTAATTTCATTAGAATTAGCGATGGTTTGGATGAGTTTGACGAAAATCTTGATCATTTTGGTTGTCTTAATCCGATTTATGCGTGTTTGAATGCAAATTACCGTTGACATTCGTGAGAACGCAGGGCTGACTTTTAGTTATGAGGCTGCTTTCGTATGAAGATTAGGGCGCTTCCAGTTAATGAGGGATCGTTAATTTACATCTACTTAGTGGTGTCTAGCCATGCTTTTGGTGCTTAGCAGTTCAGGAGGCGCATCAATTTGAATGCTTCGTCCTGGCCTGGGTAGTAAGAGTAGGAATGAAGGCTGGATTTTTAGGCATGCTTAAAAAAAATCCATGACTCGAACTACGTTCTGTTGCCATTTTGTCAGGGTTTTCCTTTTCCCTTTTGCAGCTGTTTTTCTTTTGGAATCGAATCGACCATAGGTTTCTCGTCCCTTTTCATAAATCGTCTCGACTCGCCCCTCCCCCACTGTCAGCTTCAACGGCCTCTTCTTACGACACTAACTGCCTCTCTTTTCCACCAGGCGAAGGCTCTGGAGCGTTCCGGCTACCTGACGAAGCTGAGCGGCAAGCTGAAGACGTGGCGGAAGCGCTGGTTCGTCCTCAAGGACGGCAGCCTGATGTACTGGAAGTCCAAGGTAAAGTTCAGTGTGCTGTTCGCTACGTCTGTGGTCGGGCCCGCTTCTGGAACAGGCTCTGACTCAGGAACATAGTGTAGTGGTGGATGCTATCTTTGGCGCTGCAGTGGACGTATATTGGCCTGAAATCATGAGGTTGCCCTTGCTTATATTAATCTACAAGTAAGGTTCCATCAACATATAACTACGTCGTTATATTTTAACTTTGAATGGCATCTAAATTTATGCTTCGGTTGCCATACTGAGAGATAGACGTCATCAACAACAAACAAGAACTCAGCAATTGAGGCAGTCTGCTTTAATGATATTTATGATAAAAAATTGTAGAATAATTGTTGATTGAAATATCACGCTTCCCCTACTCTCTGGCCCGGATGACTTCTGACTCCTGACTCCTCCCCCTCCCTCGCCAGCACGACGTGTCTCGCAAGGCGCCGCAGGGCGAGATCAGCCTGGACGAGCGGTGTCGCGTCACCCGCCAGGAGGGAGCGCACACCTTCGAGGTCGGCACGGCCAAAAAGACCATCTATCTGACGGCGGACAACACGAGCACGGTGGACGAATGGGTGCGGGTGCTGCAGGTGAGATTCGTCGGTGCAGCATGGGTGCAGAATGGGTGCTGGGTGTGGGATAGGGTGGGAAGAGTGCTGCCGATATGTCGGGAGTGGGATGGATGCTAGGGGGGGGGGGGGGCTGGGAAGGTGATATTGTGGGCAGGAGGGTGCTGCTCAAAGTTTAGTGGCAGTGAGAATGGTCTGCCAGCTGTGCTGAGGCTAGTTATGGCGTCTGAATTCGATGACTGATGGATTGAAGATGTACAAATAAATTTTGGGTATCAAAACTAAATGAGTGATGGAATAGCGAATGGTAAACAACGCAATCAAGTAGTTGCTTGGCGGCGGAAGGGCGTAATTGAAGTGTGGTGCTAAGATAACTTGACACAAGGCCCTAAATACAACTTGACATTCATCCCCATTGCCTACTTTATTCCTATTGCGATTGTGGGATCGTGAGTGCTCTCGCTCCCAGCTCGTGTGCCGTGACCTGCTTTTGCTGGACGGCCACATACAGGGTTATGTTCAGCTAGTACCTCTCTATCCTAGGGCGCATGTCCCTGTGCCATATAATATCCACCCAAATATTGCATGCACTGTAAGCACCACAAGACCACTAATTCTGCCGCAATTCTAACCGCTGCAGTCTGGTCGGATGGGTCACTAGTTGCTCGAAATGAATGGGCGCGCGCTCATAGGCGTCAATAACGGGTTATCGAGCGGCGACCGGTATGGCGCCGGCTGAGCCTCGCGTAAGCGTTATGGCCCCATTGGGTCGATCGCCGAATGGAGCCATCAAATCAGGCTGGATGCCGCTGCTGGCTCGTCAGCGACTGTGCGGGGGTTACAGAGTCTACCTTAGTTAAGGGGTGGTTGTAGAGTCTCCAATCTGTGGGACAGCTTGGCGGAGAGGTTGCAGTAGCGTCTTTCCTATCCAAGGATATCCATAGGAGTTTCTCCTTCTGATATCTGCAGGCTTCGTATCTCGGATTTAGTTGTCTAGTCTCCCTACCTCAAGTCCGCGACTCACCATGGTAAAGCACCATGGCTTTCTCAGCCCCGCCGGCTGCGAACGGGTGGCCGTGGGGGTGGGAGGCGGCGCCGCTGCCCCATGACAAATGACACATTTGTATTCATGACATTCGGTTTGGGCCGGCCGTCGTCGGAACGGGCCCATATGTTCAGCGGCGCTGGGGCGCTGTTAAAGGGACCCTCCCACCTTAACATTAGTTTTGAGTTGAGATAGCCAAGTTTGCGGCCAGGCTCAGAAACCACCATTTATCCTGGTCGCAACCCCCGCAGCTTTATGGTGTTCAAGAAATTTCTTCCCTTTACTTGCAGGGTGGGACCAGCGTGGTCCCTATCTCTTAACCATTACGGGAATCTGATGACGTCATCAGGCTTTCGAACGTCCGTTAAATGTTTGACTAAAACGTTTTGTAGCACGCGGTGGTATATGCTGCTTTGCGCGCAACAAATGCCGCACTTTCAAATAAAGTCGCTAGGAACAGCGGAGATCCCAAAAAGTAAACAAAAGTAAAAGTCTAATATCTTGAAAACCGGTGAATATTTTTCGATGAAATTTGGTAGATATTCGTTTTTGCTCTTTCTGAACCGAGCGACATCACTTTCATGCCAATTCATTAACTTTTTTGAAGGTGGGAGGGTCCCTTTAATATTCCCGCCGGCTGGCGCTCTGCCTCTGTCGCTGGCCGGACTTCTCTAAAGCTGCCGCTGGCGATGGCCCTGTTGGTGCTTATGATGGTGCTGATGTTGGTGATTATGATGGTACTGATACTGTGTCGAGAGGCACCACAGAAATGCTTCAACGTTTCCTTTTTCTCGCCTCGGCACGATCCGACCGGTGAGGGTCCTCAGAGCCGATCTGAGTACTGGAAGAGGTAGGAAGTTGTGGGAAGTTGCGGAGTTGTTCGTTAGGTTTCTGACAAATATAATCCATATGAGGAACTTGATGTTCCCGTGAAAGCTCCGGTGTATTTCTGGACTGGCAAACTTGCAGAAGTCTGTCAAAGAAACGTTGACAAAGAAACTTTGAAACTGCTGTGAGTGGTGCTCGTATTTTTAGACAAGCATCTTTTACGTCACTTCGTTGGTCTCATTATGTACCGTTGGCAATTCAGTTGCAAATCTCTGGCGCCTTTTTTGTTCCCATTCTTTACTGGGCCCCGCCCACTCAAAGTTTCACCTGGCACCATATCGGAGTCCACGTCCGGTGGCGATGGCGTCTCTGACTTTTGTCGGGTGTGCTAATTAGTCATCTTTTCATTTATATTTGGCTCATTAGTCTATTGACGGGCTTCCTGTGACATCTTCTCGCTGAATGGCGCTATTCTCCGCATTTGAGTCCTTTCGCTGAATGGCTATTCTCGTTCTCAGCCTCATCAGATCGATGTAAGATGTTTAGTGAGAACGTCTCGGCTTCGGTTACCGATGACATGACATCAGTTTTTGTTTTTTGCTAGAAGATTAGGAGAAGATCCCTCACTCCCGCTCTCACTCCCCTCTTCTCCCATCGCCTCTCCTCGCGTTCCCACCCATCCCCTCCCATCGCTTCCCCTCCCCTGCCGTCCTCACCCTCCCTTGTCCTTCCCCCTCTCCTCGCCCTCGCCCTCTCCCCCTCTCCGGCGTATTGAGAGGATCGATCGGCGTGGTCCCGTCGTGTCGTTACGCCGACAGGCATCCAATACAGCTGGTATGTGACGTAGGACGATCACATCAGCTGATATCGGCATGTCAGCAAATTACCAGTAGCTGATATAACGTGATTGATGTCTGCGTAAGGTCTTCACTGGTTAGCGGCAGCTGATGTGCCGTCAGTTTCGTACATTTCCTGATGTTTCGAGAGGGCCAAGGAGGCCTCTGCTGGGAAAGTGACTGCTAACCCACATTCATTCTGTGAATTATGTTGCTGCGCTTGTCAAGTAGTTTTCCACAGATGGTCATGTCCCGTGCTTGTGAGTCAAACGGATGCTGGCATTTCGTAATCGGTGGGAATGTTTCAAGATCTCCTGACATTATCTGTTGCTATGTTAGGCTATGTTTGATATGTGTCACCGAGTTTTTCGGTACGAATGAGATGTATGGACATCGTGAAATGGTTATGTTGTAACTTGGAAACCAGCAGAAATGAAAACTGTCTTAGATTTATGCTCTCAGCCTTCGGTTATCGGTTTGCAAATGAAAACCCTATAAAAATGATGCAATTAGAAGAGTTGACTAGCGTAGTTAGGTATATTTTACAGCATAATTGATTACCAAGCAGCTGCACATTTTAAATTTCTCAGTGTGTCGCCGGAAGGAACATGGAAAGGAACATTTATTTGAACACGCTATTTTTTGCGGGCTGGGTAGCATTCGTCACAAAACTGAAGTCGACATGTTTGTCCCGAAGAGAATGGGCCTGGGAAATGTCACTTGTATTGGTTTCCGTCAAGTGCTATTTGCCGCGAGTCGAAACTAAACACTGTTGCCGAATTCCAATAATGGCTGTGCAAGGTATACCAATCGATGACAATCGATAACAAACGGAGATGGTGTTTGGCTCGAATCGCATTAGAATTCAGGTGTTTTCCGGATGGGTTTCATTAGGGCGATAATCGATGCCAATCAGGGATAACCGAATATCTTTTATGGATACCGACATAATAGATATTCGGTTATCACTGTTAGGCATTGGTATGCAAGATGATTCCCTCATGGGCTAGTAAGCGATATCCCACCTTATGTCATGCCCAGCATGCTTTACACGTATATACGCTCCGTGACCTGACCTGACCTGACCTCCCGCCGTACTCGTGTCTCCAGAACGTTCTGCGCCGAAACGCCGCCCATCTACTGCTGAGCCGGGAAGACTGCAGCTCTACAATCCAGGGCTGGCTGACCAAGGTGAAAAACGGCCACTCTAAGCGCTGCTGGTGCGTCCTCGTGGGAAAGATGCTGCTTTACTTCAAGACACCCAACGACACGGTGAGAGTCGATCGTAATGCGCGCGCTGGAATAGGTTATTTGGATGTTGTGCGCGATTATGTGAGACCAGATAATAACTAGTATCATAAGCGTGACTTTTTCCCTTCATTGCCTTTTATAGTCTGTTAGAGTTTTCTCCTCTTATTGCATTGAAAGTGTGCGGCAGGCTGTAGAGGTAGAGCTTTGTATTTGCGGAATGTGGAACTTGACTAGGCGTTGCCAATCATTAAAGTGCCCTCCCCATGGATGAGTATTATCTCACCCATATCCCCCCCCCCCCCCCTATATCCACCAGCGTGTGGGTAACCGTTTGAGTATTGATCACTATAACCCGTCCTGACACTGCGTGAGCTTTATGGTACAGCTGTATAAGCTCTGTCTTAACGTCTAACCTCTGCCGCCCCTCAGGTGGCGTCCGGCCAGATCAACATGCGCGACTGTCGCGTGGAGGAGGTGTCTCACATCACTGACTCGGACGAAGACTCTGACACGCCGCCGCAGACTGCCGACCTGACTGTGGGCGTGTTCCCCAGCCACCAGAGTCCCACCTACTTCATCATGGCCAACAAGGGAGACAAAGTAAGCCACCGACGGGGGAGTGAGGGGTTATCGTGGAACGTGGAATTCGTGAGGACTGATGAACGATGGCTTTGTATTTGATCTGGTGTGGGTAGCTGAGTAAATGTGTTGTATTTTAGCACTAGTTTCAGCAGACAACTAAAGCAGGAAACAAGGCTGGTGGTTGAAGTGCGCCTTGTCCTATATGATTTCCCTCCTAAGTATGTATTTTCCTTAGTATGTTTTCGTTTGTACCTGTGCCAAGTGGTGAAGGGAACAAGCAGCCTCGCTGTGCTCAATCGTGGCCGTGACCAGTCGACCTGTGAAGTTACTGTTCTCTATGTTACTTTTCGAGATGTAAAACTACTGTAGCTGAACAGCTAAACAGTTTTCTGTACCCGCTGCTGTGCTCCTACAGTATGTCTCTATCAGTGTGGTTACATCATCTCATCTCTCCGTAACCCCGTCCGGCGGACCGTGACGACACTCCCTCCCTCCCACTGACCCGTAATAGTCTCCCTCGGAGAGGGATGGCTCTCCCGCCGCGGTGTCGGTCTTTCCCTGCTGTGTGGGCTAAGGTGTCTCGGGCCATGTCTGAAGACGTGTCTCAGAGTTATTCCAGGGTCCTTAGACACCTTAGAATCAGCGGTCTTGCAACATCTTCTGCTTTGTGTTTACTGTCAAGTTAAACTGTCTGAGTGTACCTTACCTCTCTCATGCCCTCGCTACTTGACTAGCAGCTGTTCCCCGCCACTATCAGTGACTTCTCTGTCCCTCCCGCAGTAGGACTAGTGTCTGTCTTTCGTCCCCATCTACCCCCGTTTTCTCACCGTTTTTTTATTACAGGACCAGTGGCTGTACCACCTGACCGTGGTATCGGGCGGCGGAGGGTAGAAGTACCTACCACCCTAACCCCCGTCCCTCTGTTACAGGACCAGTGGCTGTACCACCTCACTGTAGTATCCGGCGGCGGAGGGTAGTAGTACCCACCACCCTAACCCCCGTCCCTTTATTACAGGACCAGTGGCTGTACCACCTCACTGTGGTATCAGGCGGCGGGGGGTAGTAGTACCTACCACCCTAACCCCCTGTCCCTCTATTACAGGACCAGTGGCTGTACCACCTCACTGTGGTATCAGGCGGCGGAGGGTAGTAGTACCTACCACCCTAACCCCCGTCCCCCGGTTACAGGACCAGTGGCTGTACCACCTGACCGTGGTCTCGGGCGGCGGAGGCGCGGCCGGTACCCAGTTCGAGCAGATGGTTCAGCGGCTCATGGAGCTGGACGGAGACTCGGAGTGTGTGCTGTGGCGACACCCGCTGCTTCTGCACGCGAAGGAGCCGCCCCAGCAGCCGCATACCACCATGCCGGAGGCGCTGCACGCCGAGGCCGCCAAACTGTTCAAGGTAGGAGTTGGTTGGAAGGGTGGGGCGGCTTAACTCAATGTAGCACATGAAGGACTTCGCAGAGCTTTGGCCCAATCTTACTGTTAATGGAGTTACTTAGACGCCCGTCGTTGTATGTAGCTCACTTCAGTTTATTAAATGCTATAGTTCGTTTTTTTTTTTCAAAAGGACGCTGGCTCAAAGTGCATTATCGAAACTCTCACGTGAGTTTTGGCAACTTCAGCGTCTGGCTAAGAATTTCTTGCCGAAAAAATGATCGATTTCAAATTGTGCTCGGTAAATACATGGAAATTTTGACTTCAAAAATGAGCATACTACGATGACGTCACTGGTGGCAGCTGGCACCCAATGTCCGTACGAAAGCATTCATTGCCAACGAATTTTGGGAAAACTTCGTTTTTTGCTCTTACCGAGGCCCGAATCGAGTAATCGATTCTTTCCATGATAGTTATGCGTTGCATTGCAATGCAAGTTCCACAGCATGACGTCACCACTGTTCTCATGTCTAGTTCCAAAACGCAGGCATGGAATTTATCGGGAATAATTCACATGTTAAAATAAGGCGACGTTCGAGTTTCTCAGGTTCAGTTTTTGCCCGTTTTGCTAGCTAAAACACGTGCTTGTTCGAAAAACATACTTGGAGCCAGCGTCCTTTTGAAATAAAACGAACTATAGTCGTTATGTGCAACATTTTGGTGACTCTTTTTGTAGGATTTCGTAAAAACTTGCTCGGTTTTCAGCCAATAATGCCGCTTAACACGCCTTTTTTCGCAGAGCTCAGCATTTCGACCACATAGTGTCTTGGTCTTTTTTTACCAACCTTTATCGCTAATTTCTTGTTTACGTTTTGGCGGCGCTGTTTTTACGTTCTCTCTGCGTTGTGAGAGTGTAGTGTGCAGGGCACCATTTGTGTCTAACTTGCTTCTTTGTTGGTGCCAACTTGGAGCCGACTGACCAGGCCGACTTTGTCCGCTAAGTTAGTGGCGACCAGACGCTACTGGCGTCAACAGAACTTCGAGCACAGAACTGCGGAGCGCGAAATGCTATTTAGGACATTGCTCTCATTAATTTTGTCAGATATTTTTGACAGGCTGGTCTGACGGTCATCATTTGTGTGAGATATTTCTTGTAGTTTGTTATGGAAGCTACTTTTTTCCGTCGAAAATAGCCGGTTGGTTTATAAAGCCACGCTCACATACATCATCACCCCGTTGTCAAAACCGCCGACAGTCTGAAACTGTGCCCGTCAGCTCTGGCCCACTGTCAGCGAATTTGATAGCCGCGCCAGTGTCGCTGCCACAGTGCTGCACCTTTTTGCTTATATTTGTGTCCAGCTCCAATCTCTCCGACAGTATGAGCTGAGTCTCTCCTATAACCGACCTCCCCCGGCCTGTCCTGACAGGCGGAATTTATGCTATATAACCTTCCATTTCTATTATCTCGCTCTCGACAGTCAGTGCCTCTACTAACACCTAACGCCCTCCCCTTGTCTCCACAGTCCGTGCAGTTGTTTGCCTCTGTGCTGGTCGACTCTGCCGGTATCGACTACCACGTGGCGTTGGCGCAGAACGCCCTGCAGCTCTGCTGCGAGCGCACGGAGCTGCAGGACGAGCTGCTGGCAGTGCTGGCCCGGCAGACGGCACGTCACGTCCACCAGCGACTGGGCGTGCAGGTAGGACGCGCCGTCACCAAGATAAAACACTCGAGCGTAAGTGTGGGGGAGGGTGGAGAGCCGGGGTGCCAATCGTCGAACTGGGCCCGGGGGGAGGGAGGGGCGACAATGACATCCAAACTGTTGGTTTTCGGCACGCGTTGATCTAAGTCATGGTCAGCGCCTACATGTCCATCCCGACTTTTGCTGACTTCAAAATTATGTTACCTGAATTTTCATTTATTTCATTTTCATATCATTATCCAAAGACGCCGTCTATAGTCATAAACTTTTCATTCGGAAATACCCGGGCCGACCTACTCTCATTCAGCCTTTTCATCGTTTGAATATCTGTATTGTTCTGCCTTCTATCGCTTTTATCAGTTATCGTGCATGAGAGGTTAGACTGACGATAGAAGTACGGCCCAGGTAGATGTATTTTATTTTCATTGCATCACAGCTGCTTTGTTATTTGGCTGTGCCGCCTGCCTCATTTCTATACTTCGTAGCAGGTGCACAATTACATGTGCATCGGCCATAAGGCCATACCATTATTTACGAGGCTCTGCCATTGTATTGTGATGCACAGACTGGTTGAATACTCGACAGTCAGTTCTCTCATTTCTAGATTTCCGCTCATTGTTGTCGCCTTGGGCTTCTATGTAATGCTGGATGTTGAATGTAGTTGGCAGTTGATGGAACGTTATGTTTGGTTCTATTCCTCAGCTACAGTATGCTTATTCCCTCTGCAATTTTGCACTCATTTCTCGACGATTGGCGCCCCTTTTCTGTGTTAAGGTGACTGGAGACATTTTCATTACGTTTATTTTACATGAGATTGACATGTTATAGTATTTTTAAGTTTTTAGAGCCTATACAATACGTGTATCGTATATCTTTTTTGGAAAAGTGTCCAGTCGCCTTTTATGTCAATGCTATGGGTAATAGTATAATTTGCCTCGGACACATTTCTCAGTGTATCTTGATTTGCTCCAGGGCCGATGTTTACCAGTCGGTAGTTGTGTAGATTGCGCTGCTTCCCTGTATGTGCTGCTCCGGATGTGCGCCATATGTGCTAGATGTGCTGTGTGCTGATGCCGGCCTGCGCTGTATATAGTATTATAGAGGTCGCTCAGCTGTACCTATCAGACCGACAGACCACTGCTGCTGCCCCGGTATGGTGGAGACCGCCGTCTTGTCCTGACTGGACAGTACCGAATACGGTAACACACAGTTCACGGTAACATTGTAGCCCACATGTTCAGAACGACTGGTGCCGATAGCACGGTTAAGTACTGGTATTGAGCTCTGTAACACAGCGGATGGTGCAAAGCGCTAAACACACACATTATTCGACAGCCTTGGATGTCGCGCCTAATTCATAAAGTCACATTCATAGAATGCACGGAAATTGGAGAGCCACTGTTATTGACGGTACTGGACAGTCATTGACCGCTACCATCGGCATCTGAGCCAGGGCCTGGGGACTCGGTTGGTTCATTGGAAACCGTTACCACCCTTCCTGGTCAGTGCTCAGCTCTCAGACGAGCTGTACTCGTTCCGGGACAAGAGAGGTGACAAGGGTGATTCATTTGTGTGAGTGTGGTTTGATGTAAAACGGAGCCGTGCACGGCTGTATGTTTCAAAAATTAGCCTGTAGCTCTGAAAGAATTGCCGTATTCGGCAATTTAAGAAGTGTGTTAGGTATTAGGTTTGATCATTTCTCCGTAATATGCAGTGCCCGGCGTCACGTGTCCGTGCTTCCTGTTACGGATGATTATTCCTTTGCCTTGTGCTGTGGCCACAAATAATTGTACGGGGATTCCGTCCAATGTTCCGTTTCGACATTTTCCCTCGTCATCACTCACTCTATCTCTCCCGTTTACACAGAACCTGCTGCTGTGCGCCACCCAGTCTCTGTTCCTGTGCGACTCGTCGGGCGGCAAGCCGTCGGCGGCCCAGACCCAGGCCGCCATGCTGGCGGCTGCCGACAGCAAGTCCAACCCTGCGCCGCACGTGTTCGTACAGACGTGGCAGCTACTGGCGCTGGCCGTCAGCCTGTTCGTGCCCAAAAACAACAAACTGCTCTGGTATCTGAAACTGCATCTGCAACGGCACGCCGATCCAAAGTGAGTGGGGAGGCTTGAGAGGGAGAAAAGGACGGGGGTTATGTTTCGTCTAAGGTTTGAGTCTGATTGTTTTTATCGACCGCCGCGCGAAACACACAACCTTATGATTTATGAATGCTCTAGTCGGGCAGACCTGGAATCCTCAGGATGATGCTGAGTAGTTGGGACCTTGTGTTATTATAGTAGGTATTTTTGCTAACCGAAATCCCCATTTATGCAACTTTGGACACACGTGACCATATTCCTCTTTTAGTGCATGCGTTGTGTCACGTTATCTGAAAGCGCCAGTTCATTTATTATACGTTGACCTGTTCTAATCCTGACCTCAGGTCATGTGCCGCTGACCCGTGCTGACCTTCCATCCCTCCCGCAGGACTGAGACGGGCAAGTACGCCGCCTACTGCCAGCGGGCACTGGAGCGCTCCTTAGAGAAGGGCGGCCGGCAGGCGCGTCCCAGTCGCATGGAGGTGCTGTCCATCCTGCTGAAGAACCCGTACCATCACTCGCTGCCGCACGCCATTCCGGTGCACTTCCTCAACAATACGTACCAGGTGACTGACCCGGTGAACGGGGAAGGGCAGGGAAACGTTTGGGCAGGGTGGTAGCTGTGATGTGATGTCGAGGTGTGGGAGGCTCTGAGAACAACCGTGAATAGAGTTTGCATCCCAGAACCGCGATCAATCGCCAATGAGCTCGACCTCAGCGTCACCCTCTAACCCCTACTTCCCTCACTCGCCGCCAGGTGGTGGGTTTCGACGGCTCGACTACCATCGGCGAGTTCGTCCAGACGCTGAACCAGGAGATTGGCTGCCGGGACGTGTCCCAGTCGGGCATGGCGCTCTACTCGGACGATCCGTTTCAGCCCGAGCAGCGACATCTCCTGCAGACAGATGCCAAGGTGCGGACGCAGGGTAGTGGGCACTCGGTTCACTGAGATCTTCTTTGTGCTGAGCGATGGGGCCGCGGAGACGGGAGGGGGATTTCGGGGCGGGATCGGATAGCTTGGGAGAGTGAGTCACATAATTATTCAATAAGTAATATGCTCGTTTTGCTACTCAATCGCTGGAATTTAGTGCTGAGTCCCAGTTTATGTATTTGCATTGCTGAGCTAGAAAATGTGTCCATGATATGCCACCCTGTGGTATGCATGAAGTGCCATCTAGGTCTGAAGTAGCGCTGAAGGTGGACTTGCTCCTCGTCCTCTGTTGGCTATTGGGGACAGTTTGCTTCGCAAGTGGTCTCTCTGTCGTATTTTTTTTTCGGTTTTATAACTTGCTTTTGTATTCCTGGAGCTGAAGCACAAAACAGGCACATCGGGTTTACGTGCTTGAGCAGAGGGAGGGTCAGATCGCCGTTTCGTGAGAGTTAGAGAAGGCGCTTTCGTGATAGCGACCAGCAGACAGCCACTCAAGGAGAGTGATATCGCATTTGCTCAGAAATGTCTTTCATTTCAAATCACCGCAGTAGCGCTCAATTTGTTACATTTCCGCTGTCCTGTCGATCTGCAGGACAGACAAGCACCTCCGCCTGTTTACTGACTCTCCATTCCCTCCCCGACAGCTCTGTGACGTCATCTCTCGCTGGGAGACGGCTCTGCGCGAGAAGGGCTCCGGAAAGTTCGAGAACACCCGCGTGATCCAGCTGTCCTACCGGTCTCGGCTGTACTGGCGTCAGTCGGTGAAGGGGGAGACGGACCGGGAGCGTCTGCTGCACGTCTACCAGACCAGTCAGATGGTCTCCAGCGGTCTGTTCCCGCTGACCACCGAGCTGGCGCTGGAGCTGGCCGCCCTCATGGCTCAGGTAAGGGGATGGAGGTTAGGGAGGGAGCTGGCAGCCCTCATGGCTCAGGTAAGGGGAGGGGAGGGGTGGGGGAGGGAGCTGGCCGCCCTCATGGCTCAGGTAAGGGGAGGGGATGGGAGAGGAAGGGAGCTGGCAGTTCTCATGGCTCAGGTAAGGGGCCGAGGAAGGGGTGGGGGAGGGAGGGAGCTGGCAGTCCTCTTGGCTCAGGTAGAGTATGAGACCAGGGGAGGGAGCTTGCAGCCCTCATGGCTCAGGTACGAGGAAAGCGATAGAGAGGGAAGAGAGAGGGAGGGAGGGAGCTTGCGGACCACATGGCGAGGTAGGGGACTTTGAGTGGAGAAGAAGGGGGCTGACCGCTCTCGCGGCTTGAGTAGAGTACGAGAATGACAAGGGAAGTCGGTCGCTCTTATGGCTCAGATAGAGCGTGGGGAGAAGAGAGAGGAGCTGGGTGCCACTAGGCTGTAGAGTGTAGAGAACATGAAACAGCGGCTGGAAGTTAGCGGTCTTCTTGGTCCAGTTACGCGGTATGAGGGAGCAAGAGGGGAGGTGGGAATAGCGGATGTGATTGCGGACTCCGGCCGTGGTAGAAGTTAGTAGGGTGTGGCAGGAAAAGCTAACGTCACCATGCCTGGGAATGGGAGTAAGTACAGGTCTTTTGCGGGCGTTTATCACAGTTTGACACAGTCATGGCGTGGATTTAGAGCTTAATGTGGCAAATCGCATTGTATAAAACTTCCCGGTGATTAAGCATTGGTTTACAGATAATTTCACTCCATCTATTGTCCACTTTATTCAGGTCAATGTCGTGTTTTACGACTATCCCATTGCTCTATAGCCCGTGTAATGAGGTACGAAGGTTGACACTGCGGTGAACCTCGGTTATCCAACCCTGATGTAGGTAGTGGTGACCGGTCCCCGGTTCCAGCGGAGTTGGCGGCTCCGCCCACTAGTAGAAACCGCACACTGCCATGGGACTGGGTGTGGTGGGAAGTCGAATTCCCCAGGTTCTCCCCTCTGAAGAGTGTCAGGGAAGTGGGAAAAGCGAGCTCTGGGAGGTTCTAAGCTAGTGTAGGTGGCTGTTTACCTTAGTGCCGAAGTGCTCGGCGAGACCCTCTCCTGCCCTCTGGTGGGCCGCTTCGGTGGTCCTTCCTATTCTCTGAACCTCTGAACAACGGCTCAGCAAGAGCTGTCTCATCGTCTTGTCAACGATTTAACGACGTTCGTCCTTCAGGAAACGGTTTGGCGATTGGTTGAATTTTAGTGGCGGAAGTGGATGGCTATTTTTTTACAGTGTCGCTGCGTATACCTGACACATGTAGCTGGTAATATTCAGGCTGATAACATAACATAACATAACATGTATTCCATGTAACAGCAGGCCGCTTGGGCCCAACGAGGTTACAGGTAGATGAACAAACACTGTATGTAAAACACGGTACAATGGGGTTGGGAACTCGATTTTTTAAGAATGCATGAAAATGATCAAACTATTTTCACAGAATTTATGGTGCATACCATTGCCTCATAAAATCAATAAGCTGAGAGAAATGGGGGAAGAAAGATAGGAAACTTGTTTTGAAAAGTTCTTGAAAAAAGATGCTCTTGATGCTGTTACGTCACATGTCACCTTCTGCGGTTGACAAATAATGGCGCATCTGGCGCACCACAGATTACATGTTATATCAATGGGTGAAAGATGTTGTTTGCTTCACTCTGCCATTCGCGCTGTTTTTAACTTTAAATTATGCTAAAACATTTACGGATGAAATGTTCAGTGTCAAAAATTGATGTGTCTGCCGTGTACTATATTCCCACTTAATATGAGCGCGTGATAAACATTTTATGTACAGGGTGGGGCAGAAAGATTTACCTCTTGATTTTCTTAAATATTTCGGCCCCGAGCAAAGATATCAAATTGATGTCTGGCACATATATGCAGTAACATGTACACATCTCAGCGACGGCATAATGACTCAATATGGTCACCTTTGTCCTTCACCACTGCTTCGAAACGTCCCTCTGCGGAGGGGCACGAGCGCCGCACTGTGTCCCCGCCAAGATTCGACGGTGCCATCTCGAGGACCAGCTTCAGGGCGGCGATTCTGCTGTGTGGCGCTGCACACACCCTCCTCTCTAAGATGGCCCAGATTGCGAAGTCCATCGGGTTCAGGTCTGGACTCGATGATGGCCGAATGTCTTTGTCCCAGAACCCAGGCATGTGGGTCTTCCACCACGGTTGAGCGATGTTGGCCGTTTGCGGCGGCGCACCGTCCTGGACGAAGACGTATCCGTCTCAGAACGACTGAGTGACCCAAGACAAAGCATGTTCCTCCAGCAGATGAACTTGAACCTCTGAATTCACTTTGACAGCCTCCTTGATGAAGACCAAGGCTCCTTTTGAGCCGTCGGATGCGACGGTAGCCCAAACCATGACACCAGCAGGCTTCAAGCAACAAAAAATGGTGCGAATAGCAGGATCAATGCTGGATGGACCATCTGCCAAAATTTTGACGCTTTGGGAGTGTCTCTGGGGCTCAGCCATGAACATGTTGTCATTGGACCAGCAGAATGCCTTGTTACCGGCGCTCCTGATCTCCTCCAATGTCTTTTGGATCCTGTGTAGCCGGTTTTCCCTGGATACCGCCGAAATTAGGTGTCGACGTTGCATCCTGTATGACATGAAGCCTAAGCCGTCGTTTATGATTCTCTTGGCGGTTCTGGGCTAAACAACGAGTTCCCTTGGCAGTTTGCGCATGCTTCGCCTAGGAATTGAAACACCTTCTTGTGCACGATATTAACCAGCTTTTTGAAGCGGAAATCCCTTGTTCTGCCTGGCATGTACTTCGACGACACTAACACTGTATTTTTAAGTCATTTAATTACACTGCAAACAGTTTTTACGGCAACACCGAGCTGTTTGGCAACGCTTCGGGAGCTGTGGCCAGCCTACTTCAGCGCCGCAATTTGGGCTCACTTGGTCATCTTCGCCATAGCTCACCAACAACTATTACAAAATGTAAAAACGATCTTAAAGTTGATACATGAGTCAGTTGAGAAGCTGCATGCAAAATTTTATCAAAATCCGTTCATAACTTTTTAAGTAATGGACTGAAAACAAACAGGTAAATCTTTCTGCCCCACCCTGTACCTCGAATTTTCCAATGATAAAGATGATGAATCGGAGGATGCTGAAAAGCAAAAGCTCATTCCAATATTTGGACTACTTTACGATTAAAATGTTTACATTCCTGTCATCTTATTGATCATTTATTTGTTCTTTTTTATGAAAATAACTTAAGGCGTTGAGAACCGAGGTAATTTCTATCTACCGTGCCTTAACTTACCAGCAACAGCAATCTATCTACGCCCTACGGTGGCAAGGGAGACTGTGAAAGAAGCGTAAGATGGATTCTAAACAATTATTTTGTAATATACTGAAGGGCAAAGTGCAGAGAAGAGCGTACAAGTCCTGTTTTGTGCCAGGCTGTTGCAGTAGCACTTATGAAACTCCGAAAACGATCTTCGTTCATGTCCCGAACAACATTACCCTGGGGAGATGATCGTTTGCAATAGCAGGAAGAGCTGATGCAAGGGAGTGTCTAAAAAGCAGACGAGATTAGCAGACGAGCCCATGCTCAGTAACTACTGGACCGATTTTGATAATTCTTTCACCATTCAATAGCAGGGAACTTACATAGGTGCCGTTTTTCGTTTTTTGGCGATTGGTTCACTCTGACTGGACCAATCGGACCAAAATGGTCCAGAACCATACACCCCCTTAAAAGCAGACGAGCCCATGCTCCGAAACTACTGGACCGATTTCGATGAAACCTTCACCATTAGACGCGCCGTGGTCTGAAACGGTGCCGTATTTGATAATCTTTTGATTGGTCTACCTTAAGTGGTCCAAATCGGTCCAAAACCCCTAAAATCTGTTGCAGACGAGCCCATGCTCCGAAACTACTGGACCGATTTCAATGAAACCTTCACCATTAGACGCGCCGTGGTCTGAAACGGTGCCGTTTTTGATAATTTTTTGATTGGTCCACCCTAAGTGGTCCAAATCGGTCCAAAACCGCTAAAATCTGTTGCAGACGAGCCCATGCTCCGAAACTACTGGACCGATTTCGATGAAACCTTCACCATTAGACGCGCCGTGGTCTAAAACGGTGCCGTTTTTGATAATTTTTTGATTGGTCCACCCTAAGTGGTCCAAATCGGTCTAAAACCGCTAAAATCTGTTGCAGACGAGCCCATGCTCCGAAACTACTGGACCGATTTCGATGAAACCTTCACCATTAGATGCGCCGTGCCCGTGGTCTGAAACGGTGCCGTTTTTGATATTTTTTTGATTGGTCCACCCTAAGTGGTCCAAATCGGTCCAAAACCGCTAAAATCTGTTGCAGACGAGCCCATGCTCCGAAACTACTGGACCGATTTCAATGAAACCTTCACCATTAGACGCGCCGTGGTCTGAGACGGTGCCGTTTTTGATAATTTTTTGATTGGTCCACCCTAAGTGGTCCAAATCGGTCCAAAACCGCTAAAATCTGTTGCAGACGAGCCCATGCTCCGAAACTACTGGACCGATTTCGATGAAACCTTCACCATTAGACGCGCCGTGGTCTGAAACGGTGCCGGTTTTGATAATTTTTTGATTGGTCCACCCTAAGTGGTCCAAATCGGTCCAAAACCCCTAAAATCTGTTGCAGACGAGCCCATGCTCCGAAACTACTGGACCGATTTCGATGAAACCTTCACTATTAGACGCGCCGTGGTCTGAAACGGTGCCGTTTTTGATAATGTTTTGATTGGTCCACCCTAAGTGGTCCAAATCGGTCCAAAACCCCTAAAATCTGTTGCAGACGAGCCCATGCTACGAAACTACTGGACCGGTTTCGATGAAACCCTCACCATTAGACGCGCCGTGGTCTGAAATGCCGTTTTTGATAATTTTTTGATTGGTCCACCCTAAGTGGTCCAAATCGGTCCAAAACCCC